CCCTTATCAGAGATAAGGGAATACTTGAGCTTTGACACAGCTTCTTTTCTTTGTCACATCTGTGGTTATCAGTGAAGCATCAGAATCCCCTCAGCTCTTTTCAGAGTGAGAAAGCGTAGCTAAAATACTTTGTGCATGCACATGCAGCACACATCAGGACTGTCTGTTCTTTTTCAAACAGACTACAAACCGGTAAAGCAGCACTTTGTTTTCATCATACTTGGTCTTTATCAGTGTCCATGCCTGTAGTTAGGGGCGTTTTGACTTTCATCCCAGCTCCTTGAACCGTAAACCTGTCACCAAGCTCTCTGGAGAACACAGTCCGGTGCTCCTGTTGCAGGTTTTCCATTGTTCTGAGCAAAATTTTCCAGCTGAGACAACGGAAAGAGACCCTGGAGCCAAAATGGGATTAAAGCAGCCAAATTTGTCACAGTTCTAGTTTTATTCTCCTACTCATAGACATGAGATAGAGACTGAATTGCTACATTAAACTTATGAAATCAGTGGGAAAATGAGATTTTGTGTGTGTGCATGCACACAAGCGTGTGTCTGTGTGAGATTTAGCCTCAGTCCAAATAAATTCTCCATAAAAGCCGACTAAACAGTGGAAGAAAAACAAACCATAAAGCTTAACCTTGATACCAAATAAGCTTCTGCCCATTTTTTTATTATAAAGACACATTTTAGAGATGAGTGTGTTGGAAAAGGGAATTCCCATAGTCTTGTCCTGTATTCATAAGTTTGATGACTCAAATGACTTGATTTTTGAGGTTTGGATTTCAGACAAGGCTAATATTAGCTATTGTTAGCTCGTTACAAACATTTCAATGCAATTTTAAGGATTTCTGATTGACACATTAACATCAACAGAGACATTGAACACTGTGTGTCATGAGGCATTCACAGGAGGTAGTTTAAGGTTGTTCATGCATCGGATTAAGATGCCTCTGTAAGTTTTCCAGGCACAACTCTTTGGAGGAAGACCCTGTCAAAGATCCGGATCTCACTCGAAGAATCATATATCCTGACTTGGAAAATCTCTCGGTTATCGCTCAGGGGTGTCTCAGGGTTTGGCAAAGGCCAACATTTGGAAAGAGTGGTTCATGAAACATCTTTATTATACATAGATTAGCCACCACAGCCTGGACCTTAACCCTACTGAGGATGTTTGGGTCAGAATTTCCCTTAATCTCTACAAGATGTTAGTGAAAAACTAATGACAGGATGGAAATTGGTTCATGGATGAAGGTCTTAAATATTTCTGTACCACTATACAGTATGACTTCTCTTATAAAAGCCAAATAAATAGTTTATGGGTATGTTATTAAATACACATCTACATTTTATATATCAAATGTTTATTATGTGTTAATTAATGGTGAAAATTTTGACTGTGGAAGTTTATAAGGCAATAAGGTTCAATAGTTTGCTAAAAAAATATGGTTTCAAATGCTCATTGTGCTTCACCTGAAATGTTTAGTTTAAAAATTCTAGATGAAATGTATAAAAATGAACAGATTTGGTTCACCTTCTGGAAAGAAACAGGTCCGTTTTGTTTTTCTCTCCTTTAATTAATGCATAATAAACATTTTAATGATTCATAAAGTGTTTAGATATAAATAAACAACATTAGCCTGAAAAATATTTCTGAGACTCATTAAGTGGTATGAATTTTTCCATAATTGACAAACACAACACTCAACGTGGGCGTGACTCAGACACGGTTATGTCCAGCTGATGGAGCGATGGATCAGTTTCACTCAGTTTCTGTCTCACATTGTGTCTTTTCTCTGGATAACGCCCCCCCCCCCACCCCCCCACCCCACCCCACCCCTCAAACATTAATCATTCAACAAAAACCACCCAGAATGCAGCTGTGGCTCCAAGTCATAAAAGTTAGATACAAATAAAGCGCTTCATTGGTATCATCCTGGAGGAAGATTAATGCCTCACAGAAGATCTACGAGCAGTCTGAGAATGTTTACATCAAAGCTCTCCGCAGCTGTGAAAGAACATTTTATTTCTCAACCAGCTACTGTTCTCGTTGCTCTAATGCGTTACGAGCGTCTCCTTTTCAGCTGCTTCAGCGCCTAATGAATCATTGATGCAACTTTCCTCATTTTTACTCACTAAACTATGTCAGAAAACAGTGGTCCTTGCTTGGGAGGCTGACAAAATCCCTCCTGAACTACCCCCCAAAGAAATCCCCTCCAGAATACATCTTATGCTTAATATGAAAACTCTACATTACAGACAGATGCTGTCTCATCCCACTGAGAATATGCCATGCAGAGACTCTACAAATCAGGCTGTTAAATTGTGTTTTATGAAATTTTGTATCAAAGTTGGTCAATCATTCCGTATGAAGTGCTGAATAAAAACATTTGATCTAAGAGCCTGGGTGTGTTACCATACAGCTGAGCTCAGCCTAAAGCTAAATGTGTTTTCTCCTTATCAAAACCTTAAACAGACTGGCTGGTGAGAAAATAAGAAGTTGGGTTTCCTGTGATCAGCAAGTCCTGACCATATTCACCTTTAGGGAACTAAACCATTTCGTTTTTAAATACTATAAACTCTAAGCCGTCTGACTGACATATAGTTTATTGGCATCTAGCTCGAGGGTATGAGCTAAAGTGAAATATGATGGTGATGATGGTGGAAAGTTTCCGTTAAAATATAGAAAACCTTAAAGCTGAGGTTGACTGAGAAATGCTAAATACTTTTTGAAATATGCTCGGGTCAGAAAAAGCCACACAGATCTATGTCACACTGTAAAAATAGAGTTTATTGACTCACCTAGCTAGGCTGTGCTGATTTGGCAGCCAGAAGACAGCAGAGCATGTCTTTGCTAGTAAAAGCTAAATATTAACATTAGCAACTCCATAATACAGGAGAACACATTTCAAGTTTGTGTTATTTATGGAGATAAAACACCAATATTGAATAGTTTTAACCAAAGAAAGAAGAGTGAATGGAGGCAGCGGAAGAGTCGCGTTGCTGCTAGCCAATCAGAGCTAAGATGTTTGCATGTCATGAATATTAATGAGCAAAACTCCAAATTTTACAATTTTCCACTCTGGCTAACTTCTACTTCCTGAAACAGTTGTGTCAAAGCTTTTTAACTGCATAAAATGACTCAAAATTAATTAATTGCTGCAGGAGACCACTAGCCAGGCAAGTCATCCTACATATGTGAATATATAGTCTGGCCTCCACTCAGAGCTCAGTTGTGGAGCAGGACCCACGGATGTCTTTCAAACCGTCTCTGCATGCTATTGGACAAACAACGTGATGTACTCACTGCTACGTATGTCAGTCAGTGTTGCAGTCTGCCATGCCCTGTCGAAGACGCAAATACATCCTTTTTATAAATAAACTTAAATACTTCTATCTGCTCTTAGGTCAATGAAAAACCCAAGTCTAAATAGTCCAAAGTTAATGCCAAAGCCATTTCAAACAAGCTGTGCCCAGTCAGTCGCATCATTCTGCCCCCAAACCAATAAAGAGCTGTGATTGGAAAGCCACCAGACTGGCTGAGGCTGCGGAGGCTCAAATGGAGCGTGGCTACACCAACATGCAGAGCAAAATCTTTTCGCTTCTGCTACAGTCCATCTAAAGTTCTAGGCTAAGAGACCATGGCTAATTTATTGAAAAAAAAATATATGAGTCTAGTCTTTCTTTAAAACAGTGGCGGATTTAGCAATTTGGGGGCTCAAGGCGAACACAGACATGGGGCCCCTTACACATAATTTTCGACAATCTTACCTTTAACTGGATTTGCGAAACTCTACCCTCTTCTGACATGAGTTATTTTCCCTTTTTATTAGTCCTCCTCTTTTTTCCTGCCCTCTCTTTGAGCGCTTTCAATGTTTGCTCTGCTTTCTTTTTCCTGTCAGTGCTCCTATGCTTTTGCCTTTGTTTTTTTTTTTTTTTTATATTTTCCATTTTGGTCCATGTTTTCCTCCCTTTAAACATTTTCCATTGTCTTTCCTTTTCTGCTTCCTTTTGATGTTTGCAATGAAAAACAACGTCACTTTCAGAAGTGAAAATAAAAGCTTTTATGAAGCATGCTGCTTCTTTCTCTTATTGGAGCCACTAGGATAACTCCATTTCATGCTTAATGTTTTGACTATCACTTTGAGTTTGTTACAAACGGTCCCGCCTCTCTTCTTCTTCTTATTTGTGGTCTTATGGCACTTGGCAAACAACAATTTGGTGCATTACTGCCACCAACTAGATTGGAGTGGAATGACTACCAATCACTTCCTGTTTGTGCATCACCGTCTTAATAACCCTCTTATGACCATAATTATAACAGGGCCGCCTGGTATTTTTTCTTATGCCTGTAAAATTGTAATAAAAAGTGCAAAGTGTGTGTAACTCTTCTCCTTTTTTCAGAACAACCTCAGCTTTCAGTGTATGGTTTGTGTTTAGGATTTATTTCTATTAAAGCCTCTAAAAATCAGCTTAAAAGTGAAAAAAGCTAAACATGGATTTGAATTTTTTACATTTATTACTGAACAGGAACTTCTAAATTACTGGGCAAACAATGTGGAATGAACAATTTAAACTTTGAGCTGTAATGCATCTATTCTTAAAAAAGTGTGAACCTTGGGTATCTTTTTTAGCGGTTTTAAGACCATTTATTTTTGTAAACTTTCAGACATTTTTATTTGATGTGGTAGGCCTTGAAGCAGTTTCTCTCCAGCTGCAGGCAGAGTCCCATTCTGCAGACCTCACACTGCCATGGGGTGTCACGTTGCGAGCCAGGAGGAGGTTAGGACCCAAGATGTAGAAACCCAGAACGACACAAGGCAGGATCGAAGTCAAAGTAAAATCCCTTTATTTAGGAAGAGAGTCCAAAATCCAAAAATCCAAAAGGGGCAGGAAGCCAAACCTAATATCAAGGAACCTTAGATGCAAAAACAAAAACTCACTTCAGAGCAAAACACCTAGAGACCTGGGGGGGGGGGGGGGGGGGGGGGGGGGGGGGGGGGGGCAGAACAGCGCTGACATCAACAGCAATGAGCTGACAACACAGTGAGACGCAGACAGGGTTATATACTCAAGGGCTGGGTGCTTCTCTTGCACACCGTACACTGTTATACCAAAAATTTTGTTTTAGCAAAAGTAATTATTTATTGTAAAAAGATAAATAATGCTGGAATGAAGCTGAATCTTACAATTAGCAAATAGCTGAGGGTTGTTCAAATAAAAAAATAAAAAATAAAGACTGAACAAACATTCATACCCAGGTTCACTGGAGATCTGCCCTTCTTCGTGGTCACTGTCTTCAGGTATAAGCCTTCTGGGACACCTAATAGATCGTGTTGATTTTCTTTAAGGCATTTCCATAATTTCATGCTGGCTTTTTATGCTAATTAGCTTCCCCGTTCCATTATCCGCTTTCACCGTGGCGCTGCATTCCGCTGTGCACCGTTTCAATCAGGCTGTACAGCAGGAGTTCCATAACTCTGCTTCATGCTATAGAACGTTGGAAAGCTGCTTTTATGTACTTTTAGGAACCGTTGGAATTTCTTGAATCTGATCAGTCATTCAGAAGTTATAAAACGTAGCATTTTGGATGAGAAACTCAGCACGTCTCTTAATCTGTGTTGTGATTCGTTGCGCTCAAGACAGGGAATCCCGGAGGCTACCGTAATGTATTGTATTATAGGGATGGGTACCTTTGACATTTGAATCGATTCGGTTTTAATTCCCGGTACCTAGGAATCGATACCGGTACTTAACGGTACCAATTTTCAATACTTTTGAGTGTTTAATATTTTAATTCTCTTTTATAATTACATACATATTTTTCTCAATATATAACTGTATTTGATAAATATCACGATAAATAACATACAACAGTTTGTATTTTAACATCGTCCTTGTAGTTTTATAAGCTGATAATTAAACTGAAGCAAACATCTTTACTGTGAACTAAATTTACTGTTTATCTTCATTCCTTTTGCCGTCCTTTTTCATTTGATTTTTCCTACTGGGAAGTTAGAATTTCAGAGGAGAAAGCAAATGGTGGCATAGGAAGCTAACATATCAAGCTAATGTTATCTTAAACAGTTTATTTAGCTGCTGGAGCAGATTAAAACGATGATGCCTCACACTTAGATCGTTGTCGCTGGTTTAATCTTCACCCAATCACCCGTCGCATTTAGTAAAGTGAAGCCAAACTTTAGAGCGCATTCATGTTCTTCTAGTCGGAAATTCGGAGTTCCGAGGAGAAAGCGAACACGCCATTAGCAAAACGGAAGCTAACATATCAAGCTAACGTTATCTTAAACATTTTATTTACCTACCGGAGCAGATCAAGATGGGGATGTCTCACTTAGATCGTTGTCGCTGGTTTGATCATCACCCAGTTGTCCATCACATTTAGTGAAGTGGACCCACGCTTTAGCGTGCGTTCTTTCTACCATGCTGCTCTGTTTACAACTGGCTCGCAGCGACCGACGACATAACTCTCTTGCGCATGTGCAGCTGTCTAGGCAAGTTCTCGTTGTGAAGGACAGGTACTGAAACGAGGCACCGTTTCAAATGACGTGAATCGGTGCTCAGTCGGTACTATGGAATTCGGTCGGTACCTTAAAAAGTACCGAATTTGGTACCCATCGCTAATTGTATATGCACAAAAAGCCCCATTTTTTATCTTTTCAGCACCTTTGGAATTTTACAGATATCTTGAACGGTTCAGGAATTATGACAATGAGAATTACGTATGTCCTATCCCGTCGGCGGTGACAGGTTGGTAATAAGAATATTGTGGCATTAACAGAGGGGTGCCGGCGGTCAGGGCTAGGGGGCCCCCCCAACACAAAGGGGTGACCACCGACCTATGCCTAATGGTAAAACCGCCACTGCTTTAAAGCAGAAAATTTTTTATTTGTGCTTTGTTTTGCAGATGATGTGATTCTGTTGATGTCCTCTAGGTGAGGATTCTGAAAATTTTAACATCATAAAAATCAAAATGTGTTTATTCAGGGGAACCTTGGGAACAATCCCAGAGTCACCTTTAGCCTTTCTTTCAATAAAAACTGGTCGTGCATTTACCAACTCCAGACCGATTCACCAATCGCTGCTAAAAACTCAAAGAAAAGTGGAAGAGCAGCTCTGAGCTGTGGATAACAAGCAGCGACTACCTAACTGTTTTCTTTGAGAACCGGAAAGCTACCTCTGCCCCTGACGATAACACAGGCTGTTTGTGAAGCCTCGCTGCATTAATGATGGCAGTGTTTGTGCACGCGTGTGAATGAAATTGTGCAGCGGGAACATACTGAACCCTGTTTTTTTTTTTTTTACTTTTTATAAGATTTTAATCTTACACTCAGAAATGAAAGAGAGGAGTAATGATAAGTGTGGAATTGCATGGCAACCCTGCAGCCGAGTCCTGTGACACAAAACCAAATAACAAACTTTCCAGTTTGGGATCCCCGTGTGCTGCCTCAAGCTTTTCATCTCAATTTAAACTCATTTATGAGTGGATTTTAAGGAAATTGGAGCAAATGTTCTCATCTAAATTAACTATTCACTTGAATTTAAGACAAAGGATGTAGAGCATCACATAAAGGTTCAAAAACAATCCCATGGGTATTCAATGTTCTTGTTGCTATAGCAACAGATGTCACAGTGACATGATATTAAGATAGTTCCGGCCTCAATACAAGTGGCAAACCAGGAAATTGAAAGACACACAAGCTGAGGAAAAAAGTGGAAAAAAAATCGTGTTATGTGATAAAAACTCATAAAGTGCGGTCTCCAATTAAATTAAGATAATTATCATTTAAAACAAAAATAATCATCAAAGAGAGGTTGTGAGTTAAATAACAGCTTAAGTGGCTGGATCAAAGATTGCTCACACTTGCATATATTTTATTAGTGTCTGATCAGACAGACGGTGTTTTTCACAGAAATTTTTAATCAAACAAACCTCAAAATGATGAAATTCCACCAGCATGTTCACGCCTCCAACAAAGAGCCAGGACAAGCTTATACAAGCATTCCTGGCAGCAAACGCCTTCCCACATTCTCTTTTTCTTCCATCACATCATATTTCTCTGATTTTCCAGCCAGCCTTCACCCAGCCAATAAAAAATAAGTATTCAGGAACTCTTTCCAAGAAACATACATAAAAACCAGAGCTGTAGCAATCACAAAATTATTTATTCAGCTAAAGGGTGAAAGGAAAGGAGAGGGTTTGATCCTGAGCCCTCAATGGTAAGCCGACAAGGAAAGAGAGGCCACACAGACTGAAGCTGGAATCCCATAATGATGAAAGACAGCAGCAGAAATTGTTAGAAACTACTTTACTTTAAACTGAGTGAAAATATTCACTCTGTTGCAAATTTGGTCTAGCCTGGCAAGCCATCCTATATATGTAAACATATAATCTGATCATGACCCATACCGAGAGCTCAGTGGTGGGGCGGAATCCATGGTTGTCTTTCAAACATTCTCCACGTTATTGGACAACGAACAACATGCCATAACAGTTCACACCATCCTTTTTCTAAGTAAGGGACTTAAGAAAGAAATGTCCAAGTCTAATCCAAATTTGATGCCACAAAACCAAAAGAGCGCTGTGATTGGCCCACGAAACCAAAAGAGCGCTGTGATTGGCCCACCAATCTAATGGGCCATTCCCATCTGTACCGGGTCGGCCCGGGCCGGGTAGTGTAGGTTGTTTACATATCTGGGTGGCCTGGTATTTTTCCGGGCCAACCAAGGCTCATTCTCAGCCCTCTTCTTGAGGAGGTCTGCTTCAGGCCGACCAGGGCCAACACACCCACTGCTGACAGCAAATTCACACCTTCCATTAGAGCAAGCCTCTGATTGGTGGGTAGAATCAGCCCACTTGGGCTTAAGGCAAGGATGTGTGGAATCAACTGGGCCAGGCTGGGGCCGACTGGGGCTACCCGGCCTGGGCCGACCCGGTACAGATGGGAATGGCCCATAATAGAGCACAGTGGTTGGCCCAACAAGCCAATAGAGCGCTGTGACTGGCCCACCAAACCAATAGAACGCTGTGATTGGACAACTAAACCAACAGAGAGTTGGGATTGGCCCAACAAACCAACAGAGCTCCGTAATTGGCTCACAAAATTAATAGAGAGCTGTGATTGGCCCACCAAACCAGTAGAGTGCCGTGATTGGCAGGACGCGCAACTGTTTCAGGCCTGCTGAGGCTCCAGTGGCGCGTGGCTACACTGACCTGCATAGCAAAATCCTTTTGCTTCTGCTACTACTCGTCCAGATTTCTAGTCTATAAAAGTGTAGAAATGTGCGATACATTTAGATACTGTTGATGAACACAATCACAATAAAATGCGCAGAAACTGAAACATAATCAAGTCAAATGCCTCATATGACAATGGTGGTTTTCCCTCTTTAACTGGAATCAGACTTGAATGTGTGTGTGTTAGCATGTGTGTGAGGTGACAGCCCAGAAGGGTTTTTCAATTGCCTCAAACACACAGCCCCAAAAGCCTCAGGTGAATCAACAAAATCTTAAAAACCTTCTTGATTTTTAAATGATCTTTCATAGATTTTCATTGACACAAATATTCACTCTTTCAACAGTTTTCTTTCAGGGAATAATTTCTTGTGACTGTAAAAAATCTTGGAAATTACAAGATTGTCATGAAACCGCAGAGTAACTTTTAGCACAATGTTCCTACAGTTCATCTTGTTGGTGTGTGTCTTGAAGCCAATTCATGTAAACAGTCACAGGATTTATATTCCAGTGCTTGTGGAAGGAGATGGTTTTCTGCGAGGAAATTCTCATTTCCGAGTAGTCATCCGGCTGGGCCTGAAAGTCAGAAAAGAAGCTTTCTTATATTTATTCATTTAGTAGATGTCTTGCTGCAGGAAAATATATGATTTATGCTCCTTGGTAGCACAATTCATCATGAGACCATTGGATTTGGGGGTCATGTGTCCGCCTTAAACTGTTTAGAGGAAACAGACTCAAAAGCAGCAGCATCTAATGTCACAAGCATCACTTTAGGGCCTTTTCCATTCTGTGGTTTTAGAAATTACTCCAGTTTTCAGAGTTGTTGTAAACAATATTTATTTTAATCACGAGCAGATCTGTTTCATACCTGGTGAAACAGTGGGCTGTGTGTGATGGGAACATTGAGGGAAGTGAAGCATCTGCCCAGCACCATGTCATCAGGAGCATCATCGCTGTGGCAGCGGCAGCCGCTGGAAAGCAGCCGGGACACGGCCGGCCTGCTGAGTACCATCCTGCACACCAAAAGCACAAAGGACTCAGTCTGAGAGAAGGAAAGCAATTTCATCACCCCCAAAAATATTATATTGTCACAGTTTTTGATCTTGTCATTGCCCTGTCCTGTTTGAGTTTTTCTTCTTTGATGTTTTCCTTTGCTGTTTAAATCTAGCTTCATATTTTTTGTCCCCCTTGTTGTTTCCACCTACTCCCTCCTATCTTGTTTATCGTCTCCTTTTTTTGTCTGTCCTCTGGCCTTTCATCAGCACTTTCACTGAGACGTCACATAATTACCTTCTGTAGGATTCTACCTCGAACATCTCCTGAATTCAGAAGCCAATTCTCAAAAATGTCGCTTTTCCACCCACGGAAAGTTTTGCTCACCTTCTTTTGTGCTTCTCTGGGTCTTCTTTATAAACTCTACATAACATGTATGTATTTAAACATGTTTTCTTTTTAAAGTTACATTTAAAAAAAACTCTGTTTATTGTTTATGAAACTGCATTGTCCTCGGTGCAAGGAAAACATAAAATAACAAGAATGTTTCTCATTATAAGGTGATATAAAATATTGTTTTAATGAGAAAATGTTTTGTAATAACAACATTTAATAATTGTTTTAATTAGAAACTTTCTTGTATGACGTATAAAAGTCGATTTAACAAAAATTGTTCTCATGATGACAATGTACAAAAGTGGTTTAAACAGAAATTTTTCTCGTAATGACGATGTATAAAAGTCATTTTAACGAAAAACGTTCTTGTAATGATAATGTAATGAAGTTATTTTAACAAAAAACTTTCTCATAATGGCGATGTGTTAAGTAATTTTAACAAAAAAAAAACGGTATAATGACGATGTATAAAAGTTGTTTTAACAAGAAACTTTCTTGTAACGGCAATGTATTAAAGTATTTTTATTGAGAAAATTTCTCGAAATAATGACACATATATCCTTTTAACGGGAGCAGAGGTCGTGAGGGTTCGTAAGGTAAAAGCAGTTCTGAAAGATAAGAAGGCCCAAGACCGTTAAGACACTTAAAAAACATTAAGAGAACCTGAAAATCGATCCTGAAACATACGGGGAACCAATGCGATTCTAAAACTGGTGCAACGTGCTCCCGTCTCCTGGTCTTCATCAGGACACGTGCTGCAGAGTTTTGCAAAAGTTGTAAGCCTGAAATGCTCTTTTTGGGAAATTAGAAATCAGAGGGTGCTATGAGCCTGTTACTCTTAAACAAAACCTCTTGGTTTAAAAAGTTGTCAGGCTGTTCCCTTGGCAACAGGATGTGATGGCGGAGAAGAGAGCTAATGAGCATAATTTGTTGACCGTTTCCCACTGTTGCTGCTGTACTCCCTAAAAATTAAACATCAAGATCTGTAGAATGCCACAAAATCGCCATTTTACCATTATCGACCACATTATAGGGACATTATAAGAAAAAATATTTTTGTTAAAACAAAATACTGCTCCTTTATCTTTTCCTTTGTACTGACGACAATATGCTTTTGTAATTGTTGAGAATAACAGAAATCCAGAAAAAGGAATGGGTCCATTTCAAATTTATCAATCAATTTTAGCCTTCAAGCTGCAAATCATGCTTTGGTACATCATACGTCAAACGAAAATAACAGAAGTCTGCAGGTATGCTTTTTGCTTCATTGTGCTTCCCATTAATATTGTTCCAGTAAATTTAGCTTAATTGGGACTTACTTCAAAAGCTTACATACCAATCCTGAGTCTGTTTCTACATCATCTGAGTGCTGAATTATGAATCATTGAGGGCTCTTCTGTCCAGTTTGTTTCAGTGAGTCAATACAACCTTCTAATAAGTGCTTATTTTAGTGATTGATTCTCTATTAAATGCTTTTAATGGGAAGTTTATAAACCTAACTCACAAAAGAATTTTCTTTTTATCACTCTTTAAAGATTTAGCAGATCTTTCTTCACAAGAATGTTTAATTTGGTTGATCTAAGTCCACACGTTAACAGAAGTTATCGGTGTATCTGAGCAGCTGAAACTATGGTGGTTGGGTTGTATAAACAATCGTAAAAAAAAGAAGAAGAAATAAAATGTATTTGTTTTTCTGTCTGAACACACATCTGCCTCACCCTCCTCCTCCTGTGATGTAGCTGTATCCGTGGTGAACCAAGCCATAGCCGTATCTCTCCCCCAGGACCACGGCTTCCTTTGGGTCGTAGCAGCGCAGCAGTCGCCTCAGCCGAGGCAAACTAAAAATAACGAGTCATCAGCAGACTAAAAGTCATTTGTGAGCTCCAAACATGGCCTAAAACATCTTAAGACAACAAAAGTGAATCATTTTCTTTATTTTATCAAAGAAACTGAACTCTGATTATCTAGAATAAGATTTAGCTCCTCTCATGACTGCGTAATGTCGATGGTGTAAGCACACAAAAAACGTGTGAATCAGTCACAACATGATTAACCTAAACAAATTTAAAATTAGAAATTATCTGAGTAGGCGTGTGGTTAAAAGAAATCACTTTCAAATTTCGAATGAAAACTAAATATTAGACATAGATGGTTTGTAAATTCTCTGACTAATAATCAGGGGAAAAAAATCAGTTTTTGGAGAAAAATAAATCACTTTTGGAGCTGTAAATGTTTCACTTGTTCTACTTTTTATTCCAGACTCATTTGGAGTTTTATTGAATGATTTAGACTCAAGCATACAAATAAAACATATTTTACTGCAGATTGCATGAACAAACCATCAGCACAGTGCAGCAACTGTTGATTCTTAATTGTAAGAGATAGATAAACGGTCCAAGTTTAAATGATACCAATTGAGAGCTTTGCTGGTTTAAAAAAAAAGTGCAAAACAAAAAATGCTTTTTCACCTCCAGACACTGATGTTTTTAATTGACTTATTTTGTCTAAAAACAAAAAAGTCAATAAAAATCTTTCTTACCTGATGAGAGTATCATCGTCCACAATGAGCAGCCAGTCAGCTTTCTGTGTGTTTTTACTCAGAAAATGCTTCAAGATAGCAAACGTTTTCCCACAATGCCCTGGAGGAGGCGAAACAAATTCTAAGGATTTGTATCACAGAAGAATTAAGCAGAAAGCTGAATTTGTGAGATAAGCGTTAATTACAACTAAATATGAGATGTGCGTGTGCTTCTTTAAATGATATAAGCCTTTTTTTCCAGGAGAACATCAGTTCCTACCTTAGTGACCTGGAATAGAACACCATACATAGATTTATGAATATGTTAACTAACCCCAGAGTCAGTCTCATTCATTCATTTGCACCTGTTCCTATTCAGCTCTATTAAAACATGATGAAGTTCCTCTTTGCCTCAATAAAGTGCCTAAATGTTCACTGGAGATTGCACCTGATAAGCCTCAAGAGCTACACATTTCTTTGTGCTAAATGCACAAAGACCTCTTTACAAGAATGATGGCAAGAGATACATCTGCTTTATGAATGCTGTCTGTGCAATTAAATTTAAACAATCTTACATAGAATTTATTCTGTAGTCTGACACTAGTCAGTGACTTGATGCAATTTGCTGGGTTCCTTATATAGGACACATTATTTCTGATTGGCTTAATGAACTGACCTGAATTGGAATGTTTATTATGTGAAGTGCTTTGAGACGACTCTTGTCATGATTTGGCGCTATATAAATAAACTTGAATTGAATTCAATGCAAAGACAGCATGTAACTTTTACTTACTCAGAATCAAGACACGGGTTGAGATTGCACTGGTTCCCAAAATAAACAGAAGTCCTGAGATGATCTCCAGAACTTAAAGGTAAAATCTGAGATTTGTTTTTCTGGAACTTTTCTTGCATTTAGCTTGAAATGCTCTTCACAAACCAATGACAGCCAATAAATTAAATGTTTAGTCAAAAAATGAAACATTTTATTTGCCTCTGAAACGCAGTCCAGGAAAAACCTAATTTAAAGTTATCATAAACCTGTCTCCAAACTACTGGTTTTACATGTGGCGTACCACAAGGCTTAGTACTTGGCACATTTGTGTTTTCACTCAGCTCAAATCCTAGATTGCCCAAAATGCCTTTCAATTCAGTGATAAATTAGAGGTCACTGTCTCTAATCTTGCCTGTCTTTTAAATTATGCAAAACTTTTCTAATAACCTCTGAATGATAAATCAAACTATTTTTTTGCTCAACAGTCTCCAAACCTTACATTCAGCATACATTTTTTATCTATTTTCACCTTTATTACAATATTAGTGGTTCAAAATTCACAAACTAGTCTCTTAAACATAATTGTGAAAAATACTGCAGCTTCAGTCATTATAGGGACAAAAAAACACCAACACATCTCTCCTCCGTTTCCACTTGTATGTTCTTAGTTATTGTAACCAGTTTTTGTAAACAATGGACAATGAACAATAGCAGAGGCTTGAAGAGCATTAAAGAGATCAAGGAAAACACAAAAAGACTTAAAAAAAAGGACAGGAGACACACCAGCGGGTGTGATAGGAAGAATTAAAAGAAGGACACGAGGTTGCTGATACTCTAACTGACCCCTGCTATGTGTATGAACTCTAAAAGCCTTTAGAAGAAAGGATCCTGGTAAATCTGAGTCAGGAGAAGAAAATAACAGGTATTTCTGTCTGTCTCTGACTGACTGTCTCCTGTGCATTTACACTTTCAAGTTCCTGCATCTGTTGTGAAGAGATTCCCGTCACCAATCACCCTCGTCACAAAGATGGCTTCAAGGTCACTGCAGAGCTTTAACTCATCTCTCTTGTTTGTCTTTCCCTGTTTTTGTCTTTCATTGTACACTTAAAGTTCCTGACTATGGAAAATAGTCGCGGTTAACTTTCAACGACACACATCAGGGGCTCAAAGTGAAACCAAAGGAGTTGGAAACCAGTGGTTCTGGTCCTTTGTTTATACTTACCAAGGCCCAGACAGCTGAAAATGAAACCTAAATCCACACCAGCTCTGCTCAATTCTGCTTGTCCAAAAACTTAGAAAATTGACATAGTCGCTCCTTGGTGTTAATTCTGTTCTTAAGATTAATTTTCCCACCCTTCAGACCACCAGCCTTTCCCCCATCTTCTACACTCAACTGCTTTTCATTCCCTCAACCAATCCTTAAACTTGTTTTCTTCCATCGGTTCTCTGACAGCTAGTCAATTCAATTCAATTAAAAAACACTTTATTAATCCCAGAGGGAAATTGAGCTTTTAACCATCCAGTCTCTCCACTCTTTGTTCGTGACCTGATGTTTTTCAGCTCACTGTCACGATGCGGTGGTGTGGACCCAAAATGCAGTACCCAGGATGACACGGAGGCAGGGATGAAGATTTTAAATAAAAAGTCTTTATTTTGTGGGTGAGCCAAAAACCAAGGTAATCCAAACTGGGAGTCAAAATCCAAAAAGCCAAAAATCCCAAAGGTCAAAGAGCAGATTATTATCTGGGAATCAAGAAACTCTGGTTAAACACAGAGGGACTAAACTGTCAGAATCAACAAACATTAATGGACCGACAAGAACACAGAGACAGACAGGGCTTAAATACACTGGGAGGAGCAATCAGGGAAAATGGCAGCAGGTGTGTGAAGTGAGAGCTGGAGGGAAGACAGGTGAACCTAATAATCAAAATGGGAAACAGAAACAGAGGGCCAAATAACCCTAAGAAACTAAGACACCAAAACTAAACCTAAAGGCTGCAGGAAGGACTAGCACACACACACCAATGTACTTATATATAAACAGGAAAGGGGAATGGACAAGCACACACACACACACACACACACACACCAATGTACTTATATATAAACAGGAAAGGGGAATGGACAAACACACACACACACACACACACACATCAATGTACTTATATATAAACAGGAAAGGGGAATGGACACACACACACACACACCAATGTACTTATATATAAACAGGAAAGGGGAATGGACACACACACACACACACACACCAATGTACTTATATATAAACAGGAAAGGGGAATGGACACACACACACACACACCAATGTACTTATATATAAACAGGAAAGGGGAATGGACACACACACACACACACCAATGTACTTATATATAAACAGGAAAGGGGAATGGACACACACACACACACACCAATGTACTTATATATAAACAGGAAAGGGGAATGGACACACACACACACACCAATGTACTTATATATAAACAGGAAAGGGGAATGGACACACACACACACACACACACACACACACACACACACACACACACACACACACACACACACACACACACACACACACACACACACACACACACACACACACACACACACACACACACACACACACACACACACACACACACACACACACACACACACACACACACACACACACACACACACGTTGAGCTGGGGACTACAAGGACACAGAATGTAAATGAGACCTGGAGGACCTGGGGATGAATGAGATGACACAAGACCTGGGAGGAATAGACTTAAAGGACTACAAACATAAGACACTAAACTGACACGCAGACAAGGACACATGAGGGCACTAAGAGAGCACAAGGGGAGAACCTGGAGTGGAGCACAAGAGGAGCTGGGGAACAAAGGGACACAAGAGGGAATCTAGAGAGGGATGGAGGACTCCAGGAGGCACATAAAGGAGGGGGCAGATGCAGAACATGACAGTACCCCCCCCTCTAAGGGCGGATACCAGACGACCACAAGACAGACAAACACCACAAGCAAAAGACAAGGCAAAAACAAGACACGAAACAACCAGAGGGAGGGAGAGGAGGGAGCAAACAAAACACAACCCAAAAAGGGGCAGGCGAGGAGGGAACAGGAGACCCTGGGAGGCCGGCGACGGGGAAACCGGAGGCGGGACGAGGGAAGCCTAGGGGGCCGGCGACGGGGAATCAGGAGGCGGGACGAGGGAAGCCTAGGGGGCCGGCGACGGGGAATCAGGAGGCGGGACCAAAGATGCCCAGGGGGCCAGTGACGGGGAACAGGGGTCTTAGAGGAGGATGACGAGGAAGGAACTCCGGAGCCCGGGGAGACTGGAAGGCTTGAAACTGAGAGACTTGTGGAGACTGAAAGGCCAGAGACGGGGGAACTTGTGGAGACTGAAAGGCCAGAGACGGGGGAACTTGTGGAGACTGGAACTCTTGAGGCTTCTGGGAACGGGGCGACGTCTTCTTCAGAGCCGGAGGGGGCGACGTCTGCTTCAGAGCCGGAGGGGGCGACGTCTGCTTCAGAGCCGGAGGGGGCGACGTCTGCTTCAGAGCCGGAGCCGGGTACGTCTGCTTCGGGGCTCGAGCCGGGTACGTCTGCTTCGGGGCTCGAGCCGGGTACGTCTGCTTCGGGGCTCGAGCCGGGTACGTCTGCTTCGGGGCTCGAGCCGGGTATGTCTGCTTCGGGGCTCGAGCCGGGTACGTCTGCTTCGGGGCTCGAGCCGGGTGGCGTCCGCTTCTGGACCACCGCTGAGGCGAGGTGCGATGCGTCCATCTGGACCACCGCTGAGGCGAGGTGCGATGCGTCCACCTGGACCACCGCTGAGGCGAGGTGCGATGCGTCCACCTGGACCACCGCTGAGGCGAGGTGCGATGCGTCCACCTGGACCACCGCTGAGGCGAGGTGCGATGCGTCCACCTGGACCACCGCTGAGGCGAGGTGCGATGCGTCCACCTGGACCACCGCTGAGGCGAGGTGCGATGCGTCCCCTTGCACCACCGCTGAGGCGAGGTGCGATGCGTCCCCTTGCACCACCGCTGAGGCGAGGTGCGATGCGTCCCCTTGGACCACCGCTGAGGCGAGGTGTGACTCAGACGCAGGTCTCCGAGTAGGGGCCTCTGAGATAGGCGGCACCACTCTGGCCTCAGGAGAGTGCTGGTGATGGCGTTGTCGTCTACGATGAGCACGACTCCTAGGAGGTGCGGGGGTGACGTCAACAGGTGCGGAGGAAGTGATACAGCCCACCGGAGATGAAGTGGTGGCGCTGTCAGAACCTGGTGAGGGTGTGGTGGTGTACTCCATCTGAGAAACTGAGGTGGCATCAACATGCATAGGAGAGATTGAAATGAATCCGGTTCTGATGGTCTGAGATGGGGAGTTGATGCAGTCCGGATCAGGTGAGGGTGTGGCGGTGTGACCCAAAATGCAGTACCCAGGATGACACGGAGGCAGGGATGAAGATTTTAAATAAAAAGTCTTTATTTTGTGGGTGAGCCAAAAACCAAGGTAATCCAAACTGGGAGTCAAAATCCAAAAAGCCAAAAATCCCAAAGGTCAAAGAGCAGATTATTATCTGGGAATCAAGAAACTCTGGTTAAACACAGAGGGACTAAACTGACAGAATCAACAAACATTAATGGACCGACAAGAACACAGAGACAGACAGGGCTTAAATACACTGGGAGGAGCAATCAGGGAAAATGGCAGCAGGTGTGTGAAGTGAGAGCTGGAGGGAAGACAGGTGAACCTAATAATCAAAATGGGAAACAGAAACAGAGGGCCAAATAACCCTAAGAAACTAAGACACCAAAACTAAACCTAAAGGCTGCAGGAAGGACTAGCACACACACACCAATGTACTTATATATAAACAGGAAAGGGGAATGGACAAGCACACACACACACACACACACACACACCAATGTACTTATATATAAACAGGAAAGGGGAATGGACAAACACACACACACACACACACACACACACATCAATGTACTTATATATAAACAGGAAAGGGGAATGGACACACACACACACACACCAATGTACTTATATATAAACAGGAAAGGGGAATGGACACACACACACACACACCAATGTACTTATATATAAACAGGAAAGGGGAATGGACACACACACACACACACCAATGTACTTATATATAAACAGGAAAGGGGAATGGACACACACACACACACACCAATGTACTTATATATAAACAGGAAAGGGGAATGGACACACACACACACACACCAATGTACTTATATATAAACAGGAAAGGGGAATGGACACACACACACACACACCAATGTACTTATATATAAACAGGAAAGGGGAATGGACACACACACACACACACACACACACACACACACACACACACACACACACACACACACACACACACACACACACACACACACACACACACACACACACACACACACACACACACACACGTTGAGCTGGGGACTACAAGGACACAGAATGTAAATGAGACCTGGAGGACCTGGGGATGAATGAGATGACACAAGACCTGGGAGGAATAGACTTAAAGGACTACAAACATAAGACACTAAACTGACACGCAGAGAAGGACACATGAGGGCACTAAGAGAGCACAAGGGGAGAACCTGGAGTGGAGCACAAGAGGAGCTGGGGAACAAAGGGACACAAGAGGGAATCTAGAGAGGGATGGAGGACTCCAGGAGGCACATAAAGGAGGGGGCAGATGCAGAACATGACACTCACTGATTGTAGATCTTGCCCCTTTGATTTCTGTTCTTTAATTATTTAAGTTTTACGACTGGTTCTAACAGAAACGGTCTCCCAACTGATTAGAAAACTGTTTTGATATTTACTGCAGTTTTCTGAACATCACAGACACCTCATCACACACATCCATCGACCAATGTCTCCACAATTGTCAACAAAAATTAGAAATTTTTACCATCTCTCCTACTAGATGTAATCCTAAGAAAAAAATCAAAGTCTACTTGAATAGAAAATTTCAATGAAAAGAAAAAAACTTTAAATTTTAGGTATGAAGAGATAATTTGGAGTTATGCAGAGCTATTTTAGTTCAGAGTGGGGTGCAAGCAGAGCAAACTTTAAGAAAATGGCAGGATTTAGAGTCTTACTCACTACTATGTAAGAACATCTTGAATCTGATTGGCTAACAGCAACTGACCTCTTCAACTGCTTTGATTTGTTCTCCTTTCTTAGGTAAAAAGTGCAACATTGATGTTTTATCTCCACAAATAACACAAGCCTGAACAAGTTCTGCAGTGTTGTGGAGTTGCTAATGCTAAAAGTTACCTTCTACTAGTCGAGACCATAGACATGAATACGAAGATGCCCCACTGGGGGCTGGATTGCGTAACAGCATTGCCGCCATATTGGATGGGTGTCTCCAAAGTCAATGCAGAGTGAGCTCGTTTCTGTGCAGCCTATGGTCACAACAACCCGTGTACAGTTGAAAACAGATCACATGGGATTACTAGGGACTTTTCTAGCCTACCTGATGTAACGTCCAGCAATGGTCAGTTTTCACCTACAGATGGACCTACATGCCACCGGTCATCTGCTGACATAAATTCCATTCTCTAAAGTGGATTTTACATCCTAGCTTCCAACAAGCCCAGAAAGATACCGCAGCTTTGTTGACATGTTGACGTTGCAGGATTGCTCATACTCTGAATAAAGTGACTATTTTCAGGTCGTATGAGTTAATCAATCGTGAAATGAATGGACAAATGTTATATGAATAATAATAATGTCTTGATTCTTAAATTAATAAGGTTGATTAATCTGTGCTTGAATTACTGAAGTTTGAAATTAATGTTATTATTACATTGAAAGATTTATATATACCTATGATGGTCAGTAATGTTTTATATGGCAGGTGAATCATAATCTACACTCAGACACAAGGTTCATTAGAGATGAATTAAAGTGAAGTTAAACGTCATGACACATGTTCTTAGCCACAAATCAGAGCATCCTGTATCTGAAAGAAGGCGTGATGTTCTGAGGTTTGCTTGTTAACACTCCTTAACATGGCTATGGGGTGCCAAGTGTAAATCGCTGGTGCTAATTATTTAGCAGACATTTTTTTTTATATTTAGCTCAGTTTTCTGTCACACCCTGTCCTGTCCCCCCCATTCGGTTCAGTCCTGTGTTCATGTTAATTTCTCCCACCTGCCTCTCGTCTCCCAATCACCCAAGGTCCCAGCTCCTCCTGTATTTAAACCCTGATAGTCCATTTTGTCTGGTTGGTTCATTGTTTCATTGTCCTGCGTGCTCTCCTCATTAAAGACTGTTACTCGTTCCAGTTTGTCTGCCTGCCTTCTTCCCTCACCCACATGTGGATCCTTATTATATGTTTCTCAGTGAACCTCCGCTTTAAAGAACCAACATTTTAGGGAAAACTTTCAGTCTCTAGAAAAAAAATTTAAAATAAGAATTAACTAAAAATGTCATGCACTAACTAGAGAAGGCTGCCGAGAAGCTCACCTCTCTCAGTATTGGGAACTCCCAGGTCAAGGGTTGGTATGGCGGCGTCAGTGACATCACTATAATACTCTAAAATCCCTGCATCCTTCTCCCAGGTTGCCTTCACCACCGATACTTTGAGGATAAAAGAAAAAGAGGCTAAAGGTTAGAAGATTAGGAGGATAAAATGAGACCTCAAACACCACTGATGTCCTCTCTGAACTACTCAGCGCTTCTGTGATTGAAACCCGCCTCACAATTAATATCTCTCCAAGTGTCTAATTGAAAAGGTTGTCACCAAATCGTGCTTCTAATTGGGGGCAGAAAAGATAATGCTCCCTCACTGCGTGTTGAATTAGATAACAGCATCATCTTTATTAAAGCAACAAGATGATGACTCCCAATTACAGTTTAATCAAACCAAATTAATGTAGACCCATGACAAGTGGGACCAATCTGGCATTAACTTATTCCTAAACACATCCTCTGATTAATAGTATGTGGAGGGGATTTAAGACCCTGCTATGAATTTCTAATAGCCAGAATTTACGTCAAGTCTCGGGAAAGTTAATGGCATGCTCTTTATGCAGCTTCTATGTTAATTGCTCTGAAATAGCTTGTCCCCTATCTGCTGGCTCATTATGACCCTGAAAACAGACATTGGTGTTTTGGATAATCACACTAGCTGTCGCAATTTTAGCAGTGTGTTTAGGTGAGGATGTGAATTTCAACAGGTTGTTGTTTCCACCTGATGGGTTTAGGACTGAATGATAAACAGCTTGTTTTATTACATGCTCTTCATGAAAAAGAGGGAAGGGTAAAGAGAAAGCTTCTCATTCTCTGAGGCCAAACATTCCCGCTTCTGTAACATCTCATTACCTGGGAAAATTATTTTTCCTTGAAAACTTTCTTAATATAAAATTTTATAAAAACAACAAGGTGGGTCTTTATGTTTTTCTCACTACGTATAACTACAGTACAATTTAAACTGAAAGTGCTACAGTTACCAAACTCCTATCATTTCTGCTGCAAATCACTTTTATCCAGTGAATTTTATCTAAATAACCACAAAATTCTGTATTTATAGCAGCTTAATCAGCCGTTACAAATATTTTGAGATTGGATTTCTTTTATGGTAGCAGTAATCAGCTTTAGTACGGATGTGACTGCGATTAGGCACATTTCTACTATCGGAACCACTGGTTAATTTCACCGGACCTTAAAGTGACAATGTGTAGTTTTACCATTAATCTCTGGAAATACCCATCGCTATGTTGTTGTAAATTAATAAAAATATTCTCAGTTGTTGAAAAAATATTGGCAGTTTCATTACAAAACCATAAAAATCTGTTCTAAAATACATGGGTGCACGTTTAAGTCTCGCCGTATTGGACGCCATGTTTCCTTCTACGGAAGTCTGTGAGGACAAAATGCATTAACTGATTTGTAACAAATGGTTACAAAACTGTCACCATTAATAAACATTGTTGTTTTACATATTTACCTCTTCACTTATTACCAGTGATGAAAGGGAATCTGATGTTCTTGTTATTTTGCTGGAGGTTGCACTCCAAGGGACTTTTGACCCTAATGGCCATCCGTTGGTAAGGTCTTACGTGAACACAAAATAATGCTTGCTTGCAATGATTTAGGTATGTACTGCCCCCTATCGCCAGAGAAAATACACGCTGTCACTTTAACGATATTAGCATGTCTGAAAGGAGCATTTTCCGGGTTATTTCAGGAATCGAAGGAGTACCAGCCTTGGGGTATGTACTCAGAAAGGGATTTGTGGGAAATTGGAAGACATCGTCAAACAACCGGAATTTTTTAAATTGGAAGACCTGCTGGCAGAGCAGAATAAGACGAAAAGAAAATAAGCAGCATTGACACTGCTTTATAAACATTTCTAAATTCCCAAAGCCAAAATTGCAGCAGAAATCCCAATATGAGGCCAAAACCTAATTCTCCAACAAAGCACCATAAAAACAGGTGTTTCTTTTGGTCATTGAACAGCATTTGTGTGTGAAAAAGTCTGACTCAGCGCCACTCAGTTCAGAGTAGGTATTGCACCTATGGTAGCCTACAAGCATCTAAAAGGCAATAGGCGTGCTTCCATTGCCGGAACTTCAGGGTAAATACTGAGGGGGAAACTGAGCAGGAGATGCAACGTCTCGGTCCTCTCAGCTGTTGTGTCTCTATTCAATTCCAGGCCTTTCAGGACTTTGCACAGACGTCTGCATATTGCGACTGCTTCGGCAGTGAGTGATGTCATTGATCAGCGCTAAAAAGCATTCAGAGTAACATTATTAACATTAAAAATTTAATTCTGTGGAAATATATTATAATTTAATTCATTTGGAGGACAAAAGCAGCTGCGTTATGTAAAATGTTGCAACTAATGACCAAGAAGAAGCTCAGTTTTTTATGGTGCTCTGTGAGACAACAAAGCCCCATGAATTACATGATGTTGTGGGAATTTCCCCATGTTTTCCAGTGTTGGGAGTTTAGTAACCACGATGTGAGGAAATTCCACCATGTTTTCCAGTTTTGGGAATTTATTAACGTCAATTTTAAAGCAGCACAATCGATGCTTATTTTCGTTTGCTTCCATTCTGCTTCACAAGCAACTCTTCTAATTTTACTACTGCCATTTGTTTTCAACGGCATCTGCTGATGTAATTTCCAACTGTGTTACAACCAATCAGCATGAGTTAACCTAAAGTTCCGCTCAGCAACTCCAACGGGCCATTCCGAATATCTACTCTGGAAAACGGCCGTTCGGCCAGCCCGGTCAGGTGGAAACATGAGCATATCGGGATGTTCTTGTAAATTTACCCCAAAGTTCCGGTAGTGAAAACACTCCTAATATGTCATCAGCAACTTCCAACTTTCAATCCAGCAAGAAATTTAGTTCTTTTACTTTTTAGTCTTTTCTAAATGGAAGGCACAAATTTCCACAAACCAGCAAGGTTACCACAGAGAGAACAGCACCATTCCCCGCATAACGTTTAGAGGAAGGAGAACCACTACAACTTCTTGAAGATCAGTGTTTTCAACAGAGGATGAGAGAGTCAAGAAGAAAAATGCAGAGCATTGTATTTTGTATGTCCCTAAACAGCTACCGTATTTCAAGATTTCAAGACTATGGAGCAGCTTTATGTATTTAAAAATGTAAAAATTCAAGCTACAGGAATACTTAGAATATGCATTGAAATTTCTATGAAATATTAAGAAAATGGGCAAATTTCTGAACGGGAAACACAGAATTTGATATTACACAAGTAAAAATATTACACACCGTGCCTCGAACGCATCCTCTGAATGGCGCAAAATTCTTTTTATTAGCATTATAGCTGCTTTAAAATTGCGATCCTAAATACACAAAGCTGAGATATGCATCGCAAATCCACCCACAATGCCGCAATTTACGCCACTTTGTGGTCTCTCACAGATGTAAAAAACTGTATCATTTGGTCCTTGAATTCCATCTTTTACATCTCTGAGCTGCTCTCTTAACTCATTCACTGCCAGCCATTTTCTGATCAGAAAGCCCCTGACTGCCAGCATTTTTATTGTTTTTGGAAGAGTCCCAGAATATTGTGCTCTATGACCATGTAAACACCAAAATTACCAAAAGAAAGAGTAGACTCACTTCTTGCATCAGGAAGAATCAGCGTGTTTCTAGCTTTTTCCGTCCTTTCACAATCCGTTATCGAACTGTGAGCTGCAGGAGCTTTTTCCAGTTAGCGCCTCGCTTTAGGCATGGCGGTCTCCCAAAACCATCTCCTAATTCATGGTCTGGTAAAATATACAATTGACGACTTTATTCGTCAATGGCAGTGAGAGGTTGTTTTTGAAATCATGACTTTAGTCTTCGATGGCAGTGAATGAGTTAATGTGAGCTGTGTAAAACATGGCACAGAGTAAAATGTTTTAAATGTTATTTATGTCTATGTCTTCCTGATGTCACTCACTGCCAAATCAGTCATCTTAGCTAATTAATTCCCTAAAGAACAAATTTTGTATGGAGACAAAATGGCTGAGGGGACCGAGTCAGAGTATTTTCTGTGTCCCAGAAATGTCGCAGAACTTGGAAACGTAGCTATTAGCGTATCGGTATTGTCTGACGAATCTGTTTCACCAAACTGAGGTCATTCAAAGAGCTGTTTTCAACAGGAAAATGATAAGTTTCTCAAAACCCAAAGAAGATGACTGTAAAAGATCTTTACCTTTATTCATTGTTTCGACAGAAACACAATTAAAAATATAAACACATCCATAATTTCATGCGAGGACAACAATCCAGAACGCTGGAGATGCATGTTTTTCTATTCTGTTTGCACTAAAGATAGCGATTGTTGCACATTCTCCATTATCCTAGCTCCGATTTGGTTGAAAATTAAATTCCATACTTAACAGTCCATGGCTGCTATTATTGTCTGATTCTAATCCTTAAAACATGCCATGCACATTTTCAAATCACATGCACAATATAAGAATATGCCATTTGAGGTCATGCAATCCGTGTTCTATTCATTCCAAGTGGTGCTCGCTGCAGAACCACAAAGGCGGAGCTGCACCAGAAGGTGGAGCTGCACCAGAGTCAGCCCCGCCCATTCCAGAATCAGCCCCGCCCATTCTATCAGAGTCAGTCCAATTCCTTCCAGTTGTCAGACTTTATAGCATTCTGGAACCAAAGAGGGTGTTATAGCTAAAAAATGCAAGATTGAGGACGGAGTTGAGAAGTGAATTGAACAGTTTTTGTAAAGGTTCCATATAATTAAAAATCTAACTTTGGGAACTTTTAATCATGTTATATTGTCATTTCCTCATAAGAAACACGCCAAAGCCATTTTTGGCCTCATTCATGCATTTTCTTCCCATCTCAGCTTCAATTTGGTCTCCTCCCCCGAAGCGGGTCTGGTCTTGGTTCTCAAATCTGGATATTCTGTGAATTTTCTGACAAATTATTTCTGAAATGACTTCTACTGAGACACCGCCAGAAAAATCATACACCCAGTCTACAAAGACACACTGGATAGAAGAATAACATGTAACGCCACTCAAGTTTCTGTAAGATGTGGTGGTGTAGTGGTTATAGTGTCTGGTTGTAATGCAGTTTTGCGCAGATTCGCCTCCCAGTAGTGGAAATATTCTATAACCACTTTTCCTCATTTCTAGCTACACTTGCCAGTAGTATGTTTACAACAATTTATTGGTATGCCGTTTAACATATAATGACTAATGTGTTTTTTTATTTATTCATTCGTTTATTTAGCCAGTGTGAGTCCATTTGTGAGCAGAGTTTCAACTAAAATGCTGTTTAGGAACGACCAAATTCAAAGAACTTGTAGAGACATAAATATTTTGCTGAAAATGAACATTACAACTAAAATATGAACAAATTAAATGTTTCAGCTGGCTAAATAGATTGTTGCCGACCCCACCGAGAACCGAACCAGCATCAGCTGAGGGGAAAGCAAAACTTAAGTCAAACGATCTTGCCACTGGACTACCAGAACCCACATGATGCCGTCAAATGTTGTTGTACAGGACTTTTATTAGAGCGGCTATGGGCAGATATTCGCTAAAAGAAACCTTTTCATTTCGGGATATATTCAGACTTTGTCATGTAGCAAGTTATATTTACCTTGTTTAATTGGAGCATAGAACATAGCATTAACGACTGTAAACTAGTAACAGCCGTAATTCATGAGAGTCAGGTTAGTTTGCGATAAAGTTGAAAAACAAAAACGGAAGTCAGTGGGCTAGGCTGAGTTTGCGTGAATGGGCGGGGCTGACTCTGGTGCAGCTCCACCTTATGGTGCAGCTCCGCCTTTGTAGGTCTGCAGCGAGCACCCTCTCATTCATTCTGCAGACATAGATTAACAAGCACACTGAGTAAAATATCAATATTCACCTCGATCTTTGTGGAATTTTTCACAAGTTTTTACTGCAACAAATACATTGTTTTTAGAGACTGGATCCCCCTGCAATGTAAAAATAAAGAAAAATGTTTGTGAATTTAGAAGAAAATGAAGAGAGTGAATAAATAATTAGTATTTAACCACGGCCTGTGGCTGAGTTTTAACATTACTATCCTGCTGAGAAATCACCTGGCTCCAAATGTGCAATTTAAACTTTTACATATTTGTTCTTGTGGAACTCTCTACCTATTATCGTTCAACAGGCTCCATCATTGGCGGTTTTAAAATCTCGTTTAAAGACCCACTTATATGATTTGGCTTTTAGAACATGACTGGTTGTATTGTTTTATTGTGTTCTTAGTATTCCTCACTTTTTATTTGCTTTTATTGATCAGTATATTTATCTTCTGTTTTTGTTGCTTTGATTGGTCGTGATTTGGTCCAACCTGTGCAGCACTTTGGGCAGCTCCCATGCTGTGTTTTAAATGTGCTATATAAATAAACTATGGTATGGTTCTGATCTTGGGAAACTGAATTAAAAAAGAAGAATTTGTTGTTGTCAGAAAATGTTTTTTTCCCCCAACAGGATTTAAAGCAGAAAAAAGAAAATTTTACCCCCTTTCAGGAATTATGTATGATTTTTATATTTAATCCGTAAGTGATGGCCTTACAGCAGTAACTCGAGAGGTAGAGCGGGATGTCCAGTAATTGACAGGTTATAGGTTTGATCCCGGCTCCCGCCAGAGTGCAACTGTTGTGTCCTTAGGCAAGACACTTAACCCGCCTTGCTGGAGGTGGTCGGGAGGGGCCAGTTACGCCAGTGTTCGGCAGTCTCGCTCCCATCTGTGCGCCCCAGGGCAGCTGGGGCTAAATTGTAGTTCATCATCACCAGTGCGTGAATGATGGATGACTGATTGTTTTGTGAAGCACCTTGGGAGGTTGTAGGACCATAAGAAGAAACTATAAAAATACAGGTCTTCTGCCGTGTAATGTGATATAATGTAGGCAATATGTACTTTTTTTTTTTTTTTGCTAAGCTCACCCTCCCGTCTTGTAGAGCCAAATGTGAATTGAACTGAGCGCCAGTCAGGATTGGCCAACATTGTTAAACATCTGCTTATGTACAGATGTCAAGAGAGCATACAAGCGTGCTTGCATAAGTACCTAGTTTCATGTAAATCTTTGAAATACATAAATGCATGCTAGATGAGGGGCGTTGCCTCCAACCGTAATCACGGAAGTAGGGAGGGGCTTAAAGTGCAATACATTTTTTCCGCCTCTAGATGGTGGCCTCTGACAAAAAAACTCAGGATTTCTGCTTTAAACTTGGAGGCATGTTTGCACTTGAATTTTTGATCAGGTGTGACTAAAAACAAAAATTTTAATGTAGACTCTTCAGACAAAAAAGTCGATAGCACAGATTCAGCTTTCAGATATGTTAAATGTGTCGAAGCTCCATGAGCCCTTAGATCCAAAGATCACCTTTTTATTATCCGCTGTCCTCGGCCAACCTATTGGCATTTACCACTGACTCTGCAATTAGCTCAAATGAATAATGAAACGTCTCAGGAGGAGGACTTTATGGATTTTGGCTGTTTCATAGAGCCTCTGTTCCTTTATAAAATGTCTTACATGGTGCTGGTTTTGTTTTTGCTCTGATCCAATTCATATAATTAGTGTTGCGTTGATTTTATGTTCAGTTGAATAGGTGTGTGTGGGAGTGTCTTTTAGCCTTCAGACAGAATCAGTTCACTCATGCCTGCAGCGCTCTTTGTTGTTTTTATTTAGCCCTGCCCTGTGGGTAATGTGCTCAATGTTCAGCATTTAACCAAAATGGACAGTTGAGTTAAAAATATGATCAGAGGGAGGACAGTTTACATCAATCTGACTATCTGAGAAAAATAAGTCAAGTCAGGACACAGGAGCTATGGCTTCTGGATCCCAAAACGAAGATTCGTACATACGCAGCTGGGCAGGTAGGTCGTGAACGAGGTGGCGCAGTTGTCTCTCGGCTCTGAACAAAATTCTGGGACTGCTGTCAGCTTTGGACCTCTCCCTTCCTCCCAAATAAAAAAGGCAATCTAATAAAAAAAAGAAAACAAAGAAAAAAGAAATCAAGACAAATGTGGGCCTTTTAGATAAACAGCTGAACCAACGAGATTAGACTCTGACGTCATTTCTAATCAAGAGTAATGCCTCCATTTCTAGGAGTAAAATAGGAAAAATGCTTTCTTACATTTTCTAAGTTGCCTCCAAATCATTAGAGAACTTCAAACAAGAACGATGCTCAAAGTTTTAAACTCATCCGGTGCATTTCAATTACAGGAGTTCATTCCAGCATCACGTGGAGGCATGACTTTTATTTTGCTATGTTAAAGTCTGGACTTTAAATCTACTCCAGAGTTACAAAAGATCCACCATCATTACATAAAAATGTAGATTTTCTAAAATACTTTGATAAAATATCACAAATATGTATTCGGTGCCACAGAGGTGCCGGGTGGAATGGTAATGAAGGATTTCCTAGACAGCAAAGGTTTGAGGAGTTCCTTTAATCGTACATCTAAACTTTTTATCTCTGCAGGAGTCAAACAGATCACACCGATGTTTCTGTTCATCACATCTGTAATGATGTAAAACAGACACCTTTATGGGACCTAAAACATGTTAGAGACTCCTAAAAACTAAGATAAATCTTCTAAAAGTACCTCGTATGTCAGATCAATTGTGAAATCTGACTTGAGATTCTCATACTGGATCCGCTCAGAGAGTCTGAAACACAAATGTGAGAAATGTTTGTTTTTGGTGATTTCTGTAACTTCATGGCTCAACGATCTTATTTCAGGATAAAGTATTTTTTAAAAAGAAAAGCAGTAGACAATGAATTTGTTTTAAAAAGGACATATTATAGCTTTTTTTCTTAAGTGATATTAGTAATATGGTTGATACAAAACATGTTTATTGAACATCTTTGCATAAAATCCAATTTTATTTTTGACACTTTCAGCACTTTCCAGAATGAGTTGTTTCAGGTCTCTGTCACTTTAAGAAAACAAGCTGGAGCTGGCCACGCCCACTCATTCCCTGCTCAGGCTGCTATAAGCTGAGAAGCTCTGATATCTGAGAGTGGCTAAGAATAGAGCTCTCTCTTGCACGTGAGAGGTGGTTCCATGCTAATTTCTCCATTTGTGACATCACAAACAGGGACTTTTTGAAACTGCTTGTTTTAGGCACATAAGTACTAAAACCAAAAGCCTACAGAAAACAAATGGATGGGTCTTTCTCGTGTTTTGAGTGTTTACAGGAAGCCTAAGTCATGCCACTCTACTTCCAGACCGTGGGTCCCCAGAAAAACGAAAAAATGAATACGAGTCAATGGGACTAAAAAATTATTTTCTAATTCCGCTTGTTATGTGCCATGGATTTCACATATGATGTCCGTGAATTTTAAAGATGCATTCTGATGCCAAGAACGCACTTATTTTCGAGTGGGTGAAAGCGTTTTAAGTTTTGTGTGAAAATATCTCCAGGACTACAAATGCGCATCACCAAAGTGACGTCATCAAACCAGACACGGAGAAAAACAGAGGGAAATGGGTTCAGCGAACTTCGAATCATTCCTTCAGAAGGAAAGAACCAACATAAATCTGGACGTGTGGTAAGTAAGCAGCTAAACTAGGGGGGAGGAGATTATGTGGTGACGTCATACATGCAAAGTGCCGACGTCTGATTTGATTTGTAGTTTGTAATGTTAATTACAAACTTTTACAAGCTGATAAATCTCAAAGTACGTGACTGGCATGTCGTAACACACATCATTACTTTTAATTTAAATTGAAGTACAACATATGTGCGATCCAGGGCGTAAGGTTAAGCGGATTAGAAAACAGCTCTTTTAGCTCCATTGACTTGCATTCCTTTTTTGGTTCTTTCGGGGACCCATGAGCCGCCAGGAAAGGGAGGAGACTTAGCCTCACTACAGTGGCAGTAGAGACCCACACGGCAGCACAAAAGGATTCAAAAGGTGAGTTCAGCTTAATATGTCCCCTTTAACAATTTGCATCTGAGCGCACCGTTTACAGAGAAGGGTGCTCAGAGCCCAACCAGCTGCAGGATCCGGGTAACCAAAAAAACTGGGGTCTTCAGAGAACGCATAGTGGTGAATGATGGAGGCCTTGTTGTCATGGAGACGCTTTCCCAAAAACCATTCCTGTGACTATAGCAAGATGAGAAATATGGAAACTCAGTTATGATTTTTCAGCTCTGCTTATAAAATGTATCAGAAACAAAATGATTGTGTCACAAATACAAGGGCGTGCGTGCGTGCACATGTCACCTCTAGGACTGGATATCTGTTAAGGACTCTGATCAGAGCAGGCAGTGCAACTGCAGTTTCCTCTTCTATAAAGAAAAACCAGGAAGTCGATTCTCCGTAAGCAGCAGAGAGCCTGGAATAATTTACAGCAAAATCTTCACAGCTGATTTATGTGACATCTTCCTAAATTTGACTTGACTGGCATGTTTTTGTCACTAAATACGTGTTTGACTCTCACTGAGGAAGTGCAGGAAGAATACTCCAGTCTCTTTCGTAATCTGACAGCTCGTGAAGGAGGAGAACAACGGGAACTCCCTGATCCAAACAGAAAAAGAAGAAGTGAACAGAGTGAAACACACAAATATTAAACAACAGTGTAAAACTTTAACAAAACCAGATGAAAATAGGCATCATTTCAATTATTTAAGACAAAAAGACATTTTAAAGAATTAACAGAAAATGACCATAAAGGTGCAAAGAATCACAGAAAAGCACATTTAAAGGGATACTTTGCAACTTTTTCATATTTTAAAATCATTTTCTTGATCCATGTGCCAAAATTACCCTTTTACAGGGTTAATAAACGCACGTTTCCTGCATGTTTTAGATCATCAGCACTACTGATTTGTTTAATTTAGTGATGAATCATTCCTGTAGACACTAAGGAAAGCTGGGGGGACATTTCAGCAGTTAGATTAAAGTGTTAAAAAGACAAAGGTACAGCCAGGAGGTAGGTTTTGCTTTCGGTTCTACAAACGGACACTAAGGGGTGCAAAAAGCAAGCCAAAACTGCCTTTTTCCCGTTTTAATGACCAGCATTTAAGGCAAATAACCTCAAAAGGACCTAAAAAGAGAATGAAACACAAAATGAATACTAATGCGCTAAGAGGCAGAAAATTGTCAGAGACTAAAATTGCAGATATTAAACAAAAAAACACAACCAAAATAAGATTCAAAATGCTCCCAAGGAGGCTCAATTTGGACTGAATGAGACAAAAATTACTAAAGAAAAAAAAAACCAGACAACTGGATTGTTTGTGGTGTTATGTTACTTTTTTTTTTTATGAAGATCAGCGAGCCTTTAACTTGTGTGAGCTTGAGGAACAGAAGCCACGACGGGATGGGTACCGCTCAGCTAACTAACCTCAGGGTGTACAGTGGTGTGAAAAACTATTTGGCCCTTCCTGATTTCTTATTCTTTTGCATGTTTGTCACACAAAATGTTTCTGATCATCAAACACATTTAACCATTAGTCAAAGATAACACAAGTAAACACAAAATGCAGTTTTGAAATGATAGTTTTTTATTATTTAGGGAGAGAACAAAATCCAAACCTACATTGCCCTGTGTGAAAAAGTAATTGCCCCCTTGATAAAAAATAACCCAACTATGGTGTTTCACACCTGAGTTCAATTTCTGTAGCCACCCCCAAGCCTGATTACTACCACACCTGTTTCAATCAAGAAATCACTTAAATATGAGCTGCCTGACACAGAGAAGTAGACCAAAAGCACCTCAAAAGCTAGACATCATGCCAAGATCCAAAGAAATTCAAGAACAGATGAGAACAAAAGTAATCGAGATCTATCAGTCTGGTAAAGGTTATAAAGCCATTTCTAAAGCTTTGGGACTCCAGCGAACCACAGTGAGAGCCATTATCCACAAATGGCAACAACATGGAACAGTGGTGAACCTTCCCAGGAGTGGGCGGCCGACCAAAATTACCCCAACAAAGCAGAGACAACTCATCCGAGAGGTCACAAAAGACCCCAGGACAACTAAAGAACTGCAGGCCTCACTTGCCTCAATTAAGGTCAGTGTTCACGACTCCACCATAAGAAAGAGACTGGGCAAAAATGGCCTGCATGGCAGATTTCCAAGACGCAAACCACTGTAAAGCAAAAAGAACATTAGGGCTCTTCTCAATTTTGTTAAGAAACATCTCAGTGATTGCCAAGAGTTTTGGGAAAATACCTTGTGGACTGATGAGACAAAAGATGAACTTTTTGGAAGGCAAATGTCCCGTTACATCTGCCGTAAAAGTAACACAGCATTTCAGATAAAGAACATCATACCAACAGTAAAATATGGTGGTGGTAGTGTGATGGTCTGGGGTTGTTTTGCTGCTTCAGGAACTGGAAGTCTTGCTGTGATAAATGGAACCATGAATTCTGCTGTCTACCAAAACATCCTGAAGGAGAATGTCCGGCCATCTGTTCGTCAACTAAAGCTGAAGCGATCTTGGGTGCTGCAGCAGGACAATGACCCAAAACACACCAGCAAATCCACGTCTGAATGGCTGAAGAACAACAAAATGAAGACTGTGGAGTGGCCTAGTCAAAGTCCTGACCTGAATCCTATTGAGATGCTATGGCATGACCTTAAAAAGGCGGTTCATGCTAGAAAACCCTCAAATAATGCTGAATTACAAATATTCTGCAAAGACGAGTGGGCCAAAATTCCTCCAGAGCGCTGTAAAAGACTCGTAGAAAGTTATCACAAACGCTTGATTGCAGTTATTGCTGCTAAGGGAGGCCCAACCAGTTATTAGGTTCAGGGGGCAATTACTATTTCACACAGGGCAATGTAGGTTTGGATTTTGTTCTCTCCCTAAATAATAAAAACCATCATTTCACAACTGCATTTTGTGTTTACTTGTGTTATCTTTGACTAATGGTTAAATGTGTTTGATGATCAGAAACATTTTGTGTGACAATCATGCAAAAGAATGAGAAATCAGGAAGGGGACTAATAGTTTTTCACACCACTGTAAATGATCTGGATTATGAGTCTTAATGCTAAACAGGAGAAATGTTTTGTTCCATTTTATGTTCAATCATTGCCAAAGAGACAAATAAAACACCTGAACTTGTCCTCGTACAAATAAATAGTAAAGGTCAGTCCTCAGGTTTAAAAAAGGCAAAAAAAAAAAAATCTAAAGTATTTTCTCTGCCACAATTTTTTTCTGAATTCCCCAATGCTGCTGTATTCAGCGTCTGAATGTGGAGTTTTAAAAAGATTTGTCATTTGTGTTATCCCCCCCCCATCAGTCCCATAAGAAACAGATCCAAGAATGGATGCACAATTTTTACTTTAATTAAAAAAAACACCTCAAAAGCAGCTTATTTGACATATTTAGAGATAAAGAGAGTTTGCAAAGAGTTTATTTCGACGTGTTTTCATTTTGCATGCTGGGAATCTAATGCATCTTTAAAAGAAATAAAGGAAATTATTTGTTAGAAACTACATTCTGACTCAGTTTTTGCAAGTCACGTTTCACTCAAGGATGTGAGACAAAATCAGCCAGTTTGAATGGTTTTTATAGGGCATGTATCATATAAACACAAAATAACTAAAGCTATACGGTTTTATGAAGAAATGCTAATTACCTGATGCATTTCATGTCAGACTTTTATGATAAAATCTATTTTTTGGACAATAAAAAGGGGAAAAGATGAGTGATTATGAACAAAGCTTTCAATTTGAATTCAGATGTTGCTGCTAATGTTTTTGAGCTGTTTAAATTAGACTAGATGAGTAAAAAACACATTAACAGCAACAGGAATCAGAATAAATCTTTATTGTAACACATGAAGTGTAAACTACTCTTGTTTTAAAGGACCTGCAACAATTAAGGTTCATCAGAGACAAAAATCTCCGTGACATTTGTGACACGCTGCAGGCCACACTGTGCTATTCAGGGAAGTCTGAGTGTTCCTGAAGATGATGCAGCCATTACCGATGGCAGGGTAGAGGTGATTAGTTCAACCAGGTGTGTTTACTGTCACAACCGTTCATTCACGCTTAGTTTCTTCTGCTTTTGACCTATGCTGATCACTAAACCCAGTGGTTCCCAAACATTTCAGCTTCAGAGCCACTAAATATGAATTTGTCAAGATTTACAACCTCCGATTTATCTGATTTGACAAAACAAACAAGCTTAAAAAGCTAAATAATTCAGGGCGTAAAGAAAACCGCTCCTGTTCACATCCATTTTGACAAATTAGTTTAAGATTTTGTAACAATTATTCAAAAAATAGACCTTCAACTATTCAATTTCATTTTTGATTTTTGGTAACACCCTCGAGACTCTTCGTAATTTTTGGTAGGGCCACGACCCCAGCTTTGAGAACCACTAACTTAAATGTTACAGATGAGCAAACAAAAGTTAGAGAGTGAAAACAAAATGCACCTTTCAAATTATTTCATTTGTTAGGGGAAAAACATCCAAGGCAACACATTAAAGGAAACAGGATTTACAGAAAGGCTTTATTTTAGGGCACATTGGAGGGTTTAGGGTTAAAGACCAGACATTGTCCTTAAGGGTTTTTGGCTAGAGAGCCATTAAAGCAAAGCAGCCCCAGACCATCACACCCCCACCATGTTTGACTGTTGGTATGATGACATTTTAGTGTTACTTTTACACCAGATGGAGCAGGACACAAAAACTCTTAGGGATTATCAGGGTATTTTAGGCAGATGAGTAACAGGACTTTGTTTTGTTTTCGGGCAGCAGAGGTTTTAGCCTTGGAACTCTTCCATGATGCCATTTTGGCCCATTATGAAGCCTGCAGTGCTTTGGACGATGTAGTCTGTGTTCTTTTGATCTTTAATTCCTTTAGAATGAGGCCTGATGTGTTGCTTTTTGAGATCTTTTAGCCTACTTCCTGCTGTCAGACGGATTTCTTAATTCCCAGAACCAGGGTTGTTTGGATTTCAAACAGTCGTTAGAAAAATTATCTTTGATGCCGATCTGAAATATTTAAGTGACAAAAAAAGAAAGGGAACCAATCTTTTTTTGTAAAACCTAGACGCCCAGGATGAAAACTGTTCAAACCGATCAAATGAAGTTCTTTGTTGACACATAGAGCTGGAGTTGCTGCACTTTTTAAAGTATCTGACATGAATATGTCAACCACCAATAAAAATTTAAAAAATCAAACACTTGTCATGTTCCATCACCTCTTTGTGTTTCACAGCAGAATAACACAGCTGTTGAAGACTTTATTGCATTTGAGCCCCTCCATTTGGACTTCAGTAAGCCAAGCCAACATATTTCATGTTCTGAATGCACGCTGTCCACTGAGGTGGACATGTAATAAATTATTTGTAAATTTTAAAATTTTACAAAAAATATTTGTTGAAATTTGTTTCATTCACACCTAAAGATGAATGAAAAAAAATGTTAAAAAAATCATGGTTGAAGATTTAATAATTCATGCATCAAAGGGTTAAGGACTTGTTTTTCATGATCTGTTTAGCCTGGCTCTGTTCTTGTTGGAAAACGTAGCAGTGAGGATTTATTGTCTGTTAACGCAACTAAGTTTCAAATAGGGTTGCATGAGAATGACAGTGCATGTGTGTGTGTGTGTGTGTGTGTGTGTGTGTGTGTGTGTGTGTGTGTGTGTGTGTGTGTGTGTGTGTGTGTGTGTGTGTGTGTATGTGTGTGTGTGTGTGTGCATTTGTTGAAGTGAGCAGGCAAACAGGACAGTGGGGTTTCCCCAGATTTTTTGCACTGAGCTCTTGTGCTAAAGAGAAAGCTTTAAAACAACCTCATTTTTCACCATGACAACACCACATGCTACATACATAGGCTAGCAAACGATATTGGGGTGTGTGTGTGTGTGTGTGTGTGGGGGGGGGGGGGGGTCACACAAAGCAAATAGGATTAGGTTCAGTTTGGTTTGGAGTTTGTTCTGGAGATTTTGACCTTGAGCTGTATGCTCTGCTGGTTGCTTGTGTGTGTCGCAAGCAGGTGTTGTACCATTTTTTGCAACCATCAGATTCTGTGACTCCAGGGGGAGCTAGAGGAAAGGGGTCTGATCTTTGAATTGTTTATTTTTTCTTTTCCCCTCAAACAAGAGCTTGCTTGAGTGACTTTTACTAAGAACAAATACTGCAAATATTCAGTAAAAATATTAAAATGAAATCTGATTTATTCAGAGACTTAAGTCAACTGGTTTATTTTTTTTATTCCAGATGCTGAAGGGTATTCTAAAACAAGTGTACACCCTCCCACCTGGGCCACAGTCTGCTAAGAATGACATGAAGATGATGGATTTCAAAAGTGAAATAAAAAAGATTGTGCACATCAACTTTTCATCAGTAAGGTCCCACAAATGTTGGATTCACGAGTGTTTGTGTGTAAATCTTCCCACAGAGTGTCTGCTGCTGGTTTCTTCCAGTATTTTTTGCCACTTTCCCAGACTGATTAGAAGAAATCAAGCTCGGGCCGTGACGGATTCCTAACACTGAGGTTTCATTACTTTTTCAAAGACATCAAGCAGACGCATATCCTCATACCCCATGAAGATGGAAACTATGACACCTACTGGCACCAGTAAAATCCCACAGTGATTCCCAAATTCAGAGGCATTGTCTATGCTAATGGTGACACCTTCAGCCACTTTTGGTTCCTTTAAATTGTGTTTCCTGCTCTTATCTCTCACTAGGGTGATGCATAATGGGAAAATAATTTTAAAAAACCACTAATGATCAAATATTTAATCATATTGTGTCAGCAAACACTTCAGAAGAAGATTCGGTTTAGTCTGAATCAGCTCCTCAGGAGGACGTTTGGACTGTTCTTCCTGACAGAAACCTAATTTAGCACATTTATTTTGTCTCAACACCCCTCCTGAGATCATCTCACAGCCCTACTTTTCAATCAGAAAGCTAAAGTTGATGTCTAACTTGTGTTAATTCATTTTTTCAGTTTTTTTTAATAGAGTAAATGTTCATAGATTTGACACAAACTGAACCCAAGATGCCTTTTTAGACACTAAAGGTACAAAAGAAAAAAATCAAATGCAGGATTTTGTGTTTTCCAGGGATCAGTGCTTTTGCTGTAAAGTATCACCTGCTCCAGTTCAGCTGCCTGCTGGAGAATCTCCACCTTTTTGTGGTAACTGCGTCGGGCGTGAAAGGAGTTCCTCTGACTCTGGATGACTATCACCACCTCCTCCAGCCCTGAACGAGCACATGGAGAAATACAAAATGTGTCTTCCATCACGCTAAAACAACCACTTCAACCGAGATCATGTTGATTTAAAGTTATAAATACCAAAACGTTTCAAAGTTTAAGATATCCAGTTTTTGTACTTTGAGATTTCAAGAATTTAGAGCAACTGATCCCTTAAACGCCTTACTCACCCACAGAGCTGCGTGCAGGGTGCTCCGGGTGGGTCGGAGCCTGCGGGGAGAGATTCTCATTAGGTGTGACACACACAGCAGAGCCTCGGGATGAAACCTAATCAGCAGCAATCTAAAGAGTAGCACTTACGTGAGCGTTATATGTGGGTTTGTCTTCACCTGAAAGCCCTACAACAAAGATAAGACGCATGTATGAGTAACTAAAAAACATTTCATCTCAACAATCATTTAACAGAGAATGAGAGCAATATTTGAGTAATTTAGTTGATGAACTAAAATTAAATAAAAAGCTGTGATAAACATTTTTTCTTTCTGTTATTTGCACATAAACTGAACATAATCAGGACTAGTTTAAAGGCGCAAGAAGTAAGAATGACATTCTGCTGCCAAATGTGAGTTCGGCAGTCCATGTATCAAAACACACGTTTCCGCTCTGAGCAACTGTTGCCAGTTACGGATCGGTGCCAGATGATGCAGGCCAATCTTTTCTTTTCAATTTTGCATTGCTAGCTAAACGTTAGCCTTCTTTACTCAGTACTGGAGAAAAATAAACTGTGCTTCTTAGGGGTACAAGAAATAACTTCTGGGCCGCTCCAGTTACTGGCTAACATTCTTCCCAAAACGCTGGTGCTTTTTGCAGGCATGGTTTCGAAATACCAATTCCAGCGCAGACTTGGCAACTTTACGAACTCAGATATGATTGCCTCTGAAACCTGGGTGTATGGAGGAGGCAGGACAGATTGTAAAAAATGACCATGTCCCTCTTCAGACTTTTTTAAGGGAAATTCTTTGTCGTAATAGCCTGTAACAAAGAGGCAAAATATAGCATAAAATTATACTAGAAAACTTTGCATAAATGCTTTTTTCACACTGTTTACCTTATAGAAACACTAGATTTAGAGTAAGCTTATATTCTACAAAGCTCCAAATGCTAAAAGCCACACTCTTGTCACATGCCATTTAGAAAAAGATTTCACTTAATGGGCTGTGATTAAATTTTCAACTAAAGCCTATGCTGATGTGTAGTTGATGGAACTATGTGTAAAATTTTCTTATAAGAATGCAGCTCTCTTAACAAACAAAAATCATGCCATTTTATTTTTTTAACTGTAATCCAAACCTCTTTCAAAATCTGTTCTTACTGCAACAAAATATATGATGAAATAATCCTTGTTAGAGATCTACAGTCATAATGTTACTTTTTCCAGTAAAACAAATTTCCACCCAAATTTTGAAATGTCTTTAAAAATACTTTCATTTCACTTTCAAGAAATCATTTGAAATATTAACACAACCACTGTTTATTGTATCTTCAGTACGCATTTCTGCAGTGGGAATCACAGATAAATCAAATTTCAGGGTTAATAAACATGAATATCCAGTAACAGCAGGCGCAAGGCTACTCGTTTCTAAATTATCCTGTTAAATAAAAACTGTCGTTTTGTTTGTATAATTAAATTAATTGAAAACACATTTTTTTTCTTCCACATAAAGTTTTTGACCACTGCCAAACTATCGCTTCCTGCTACAAGTTTCAGAATACATGTACACTGCTTCTCTGTCCCTCTGCAGATTAAAAATGAACAAGTAGCCCTTTTATCTATTCAGAATTTATGCTGATCAGCCATGTTTCTATAAATTTTTGCCACACTCAAACAACGTGCCATTTCACTTGTTATAGATTTAATTCAAGTTGACTATTAAGTTGAAGGACTAACAGTTACAACTTCCGGTAATCGATGTTCGTTCGCCCACTAGCTTTATTTAGCAGGTACGCTAATATTGATAATTCTTTAAAGGAGTATTTGCTACACTTACCTATCCAAATAAAAAGTACAGCGACCAGTTTGCATCTATAACCCCAGATGTGATGTAGCATAACTTCCGCGGCAGCTGGTTTAAACAAATGATGAGAAAATAGTTCGATTCATTCCAGAAATCTACCAGCCTTGTTGGCTAGGCTACTGTAGAGCTATAGCGACTTTTAGCGGACAGTAGTAGAATTGCAAGTTTGTTTTTTCCGGTGGTCATAGTTTAAAGGACCACCCCCCCACCCCCACCCCAGTTGCAAAAAAAGATAAAAACAACCTTAAGAATTTAATATTACACCATGTCAGTATTTGTGTGGAAAATATAGATTATAGTATGCAAAAACATTGAGTAAAAAAGTCTCCTTTACAATGTTCAGTGTGTAGGGTTTGAGAAATTGAGTGCTTAAAGAGCTCTATATATGGCCAATAAGCTGTGATACCCTATCTAAATATAGAAGATCAACCTGCTTGGTCTTTACGGTGTTAATAAGAATATTCTAGGATTCTTTATTTATTCATGGACTGTACACACTTCGTTTTGATTCAGAAAAGAGTCAGGTTTATAAAAGTAAGAATTTATTTTACAAACAATTAATGACAGGTTAACTAACATTTACGATGATGGACGGAACTAGATGTGATGTATGAAACCTATGTGTGAATGCGATTGTCACACCCTGTCCTGTCTCCCCATTCTGTTCAGTCATGCGTCTCTGTTAATTGCTCCCACCTGCCTCTCATTTTCCAATCACCCAAGCACCCAGCCCTCATGTATTTAAACCCTCTCAGTTCTGTGTCGTGTCGGTTCATTGTTTCATTGTCCTGCGTGTTCCTTGTTAAATACTCGTTTTAAAAGTTCCTGTCTGCCTACCTGCCTGCCTTCCTCACCTGCATGTGGATCCTTGCCTCCGCTTCACTCACCGGCATGTAGTGACAGAATGAACCGACCAGCTAAAGGATCCAGCGGGGAGGTTCTTCCCTGGGAGTGCTTGCTCCAGTTCCTCACCTCGGATCACCGGCCGGCTTCTCCTCCTCTGGCGTCGCCTCGCCGCAGACGCCACCATCGAACTCCGGCCTCTGCGATCCTCTCCACCCTCCCGGAGCCAGATGGGGGGTTGGACTTGGAGACGCAGCTAGACCACTCCTGCTATATGGGCACCAGACTGGCTGTGTGCTCACCCGGAGTTGGCCCACGGCGTTGGGAAGGAGGCCGTGCTCCACCGTCACCCCTTGTCCCATGACGGAGCCGCGGGCTCGCCGCTGCCCCGGCTCGGCGCGCCAGCTTGGACCCGCCCCCGGTCAGATCAGCGGCCCCGTCTCCGGTCCAGTCAGCGGCTCCGTCATCTGCAGGCGGAGGGACCACGCCTACAGCCCATCAGACGGAGCTCGTCGGCCTCCAAGCAGAGCTTGTCCGGCTCCGCCATCTCATCAGCCTCCAGGAGTTCCAGCTGGACACCCTATCCTCCCCGAATCTCCAGGAGAAGGTTTCGGTCCAGTCAGCAGCTCCCTCGTCTCTAGGCCAGGGGACCGAGCCCGCAGTCCATCCAACAGAGCTCGCCGGTCTCCGAGCTGAGCTGGTCCGACTCCATCAGATCCTCAGTCTCCAGGAGTTCCAGCTGGACAATCTATCCTCCCTGCTTTCCCAGTTACCAGCTCCGCCAGGTCCCACACCACCACTCCAGTCAGCGCCAGTTCCAGCGGTGGTCCAGGAGGCTCCGCCCCCGGGCCGGCCTGTCCAGATGTCAGAGCCCAGTCCGGCAGGCTCCAGTCAAGGAAGCGGTCCCGTCTGCAGCGGCTCCGCCTCCACTCCAGAAGTCGAGGGTCCAGAAGTCGACTGACCAGAAGTCGGCGCCTCCGGACCAGAAGTCGGCGGCTCCGGACCAGAAGTCGACAGGGGACGATGCCTCTTCCAGTCCAGAGGTCGACGCATCTTCCAGTCCATAGGTCGACGCCCCCTCTAGTCCTCCTCCTCCAGCCCAGAGGTTGACGTCTCCTCTTCCAGCCCAGAGGTCGACGTCGCCGTCTCCAGCCCAGAGGTCGACGTCGCCGCCAGTCCAGGAGTCGACGCCGTCTCCTCCAGCGTCTCTGCCTCCGGTCACCACCAGTCCTGCCCTCGCCAGGCGCGAGCCTCCCAGGACCCATCGTCGTCTCCTCCTCTGCCCCAGACGCAGGCTCCCAAGAGCCCATCGTCGTCTCCTCCTCTGCCCCAGACGCAGGCCCCCGGACCCTACTGGTCCCTGCCTCCTCTCCACCAGTCCCTCGGTTCCTCTCAGCCCTCCTTCCTGGTCCCCCTCCTCCCGCCCTGCTCTGTGGGCATCTGGGATCCGCCCTTTTTTTTGGGGGGGGGGGGGGGGGGTACTGTCACACCCTGTCCTGTCTCCCCATTCTGTTCAGTCATGTGTCTCTGTTAATTGCTCCCACCTACTTCTTGTTTTCCAATCACCCAAGCTCCCAGCCCTCATGTATTTAAACCCTCTCAGTTCTGTGTCTTGTGTCGGTTCATTGTTTCATTGTCCTGCGTGTTCCTTATTAAATCCTTGTTTTAAAAGTTCCTGTCTGCCTACCTGCCTGCCTTCCTCACCTGCATGTGGATCCTTGCCTCCGCTTCACTCACCGGCACGTAGTGACAGCGATTTTATCAGAACTTCCTTATCTAGGAGAGCTGAGTTCTGGATGTAAAAGAATTTGGTTTGCGTTAAGCTATGAAGTTCCACCACTTCCGGCACTCGCAGAGTACAGACACTTCTGCTTTTGCTCCCTTATCTTTTTTTCCAAGTCTCTTTGTCCTGTCTGCCTACAGAGCACTTCTCTGCATTTCTTCTGGAAATCCCTATTTTTTGGAAATGGATTTAATTAATTGGTCATTCAACGCAATTGATAAGATCTTTTCTACGATGAGAACGGAGGAGGGGGCTCCCACTTGCCCTCAAGGGACACACGCAGCGGGATATGCACTCGATTCCTGGAAGGTCTGGAGGATCGTGTGCCTCTCTCAGTTGCCCATTGAGGATGTCGAAGACATATGGATATTTGGCTTGATGATCACTGGATTTCTTCTGATTGGAGTGGGAGGATATCTGGTTTTCTGGAAATTTGGGGAGACAGGAGCGATTGGAGGGCGACCCGCACCCACGGAAAGCATCGCCCGGGCGGTGACCTCACAGACTGGGACGTTACTCGAGGTGAATCGTAAGCTGGACAATGTCCTTGCTGCGTTACCGGTATTAGTGCGCAAAATGGACGTAATCTCAGAGAGGGTCACCGGACGGTGTGGGGATGATTAGAACCTAAATTGGCTTCACTGGAGGACTTGAATGATCAATACAGACTTCAAGGCAGAGAGGAAAATTATCTCTGCCTGACCCAAACAAAGTCTTGTTATCCAAATCTGACGCCAAGGCAGCCTTGAGCTGCTAACAACAACCCCCACGAAGGAAGGAATGCAGACAGATGCTGTGAAAACCCGTCCCACCCCCCCACCTTCAGATTGTGGACTTCTGGCTAGCGAGGTCATCAACCTGCAGGAACTCAAATGTGCTCTGCGCTCCTCCAAGATCTCCCTCCCTCCTGTGGATACAGCTGGCTGAGCCCCACACAGGGCTGCTCCCGCTGGGAACACAGGATCCCAGGTTTTTGCTTCAGATGGCCGATCTGAAGCTTTTCTCAAGAACTGATGAATCACCAGAGTGATCCAGTTTTAATGTTACGTTACAAGTGGAATATTTCTAATAGCTACATGTCTACCGTAGAGTAGAATTGGGAACATAAAACGCTCACCTAAAGCAAGTTATGATTAGTTTGTTTTTGCTTGTTTTGTGTAAATTATCAGAAGATTTTTTTCATGACTTGACCTTTAGGGAACCAAACTTGAGGAAACCACTGATCAAAGGCAATGATTTGTTAATGCAAGCGCCTCCATTACTTTATGTTGTGGCAGTTTGTCTGACTGGGACATCAAGAGGTTCATCTCAGACCTGCTAAATCGCCATGAAAATTGGTGATTTTTTTTTATGACAGCAAAATTTTAAATGTATTTCTTTAAATGTTTATTCAGGCCATGAACCAAGACTAGCACCTGTTTGGTTTACGAAGATGCGTCAGAACACATTGGAAAACATTCTTGTGAGATCATAGTGAAGATGTTCTGACACGCTGTACAAGACTTTGAATAAAATCAGGACATTTGAGCACAAACATCTCTCAAGCATGGAAGTGGAGAAGTGATGATGCGGGCAGGTTCTACAGCTACCAGGTACAATTTACAGGCATGGACTCTGCATGCAAAATGATTCTAGAGTTAATCTAGCAGTCGGGTGTTTGGCCAAAACATGTCACTGTGGGATATATCTATAGATATATACAAAACAGATAGAATGCAATAAACATATAAAAAATTCAGCTGTGTGAACTTTACAGCTACGGCAAAAATGTGGGTCAAATGAGGATGTCTCACATAAATAGCCTCACAGGAAATAATGTGGAGATGAGAAAAGCAAGTCTATCTTTCTGTTGTTGACAAGGGAGCCTGGTGGAGACCTTCAGAACAGATGAGTCAACAGTCTTCTCACCACAAAAGCCTCTAAGCCTCAAACATTAATTAGGCTGGTTGTTTTTGTGAAACCGCATGCAAGGAGAACACATTTTTTGGGTGAAAATTAAGCAAAGTGTTGGTGGCTTTAAGGGGACCAGCTGCAACACAAATAAATGAGGTTTCGCTTGATCAAACATTTATAGGTTGGAGTAAAACTTGTGGCATATAGCACTCTGCATTTTGTTGTTGTGTAATCATAATAGTAAACAGGGAGTAAAAACACAAACTTTCTGAATAAAAGCACAACTTTCAAGCGCCACTGTGTGTGTGTTGGCAGGCCAATTGAGCACAGTAATACCATGGTCAGTAAACCATTTACCAGTGGTTTTGGCACTGTGAGCAGGTGCCAGGTTGTGCTGAAAAATGAATTCTTCATCTCCATAAAGCTTTTCAGCAGATGGAAGCATGACGTGCTCCAAAACCTCCTGATAGCTAGCTGCATTGACCCTGCCCTTGATAAAACACAGTGGACCAACACCAACAGCTGACATGGCACCCCAGACCATCACTGACTGTGGGTACTTGACACTGGACTTCAGGCATTTTGGCATTTCTCTCTGCCCGGTCTTCCTCCAGACTCTGGCATCTTGATTTCTGAATGACATGCGAAATTTGCTTTCATCCGAAAAAGTACTTTGGACCACTGAGCAACAGTCCAGTGCTGCTTCTCTGTAGCCCAGGTCAGGTGCTTCTACCGCTGTATCTGGTTCAAAAGTGACTTGCCCTGGGGAATGCGGCACCTGTAGCCCATTTCCTGCAGACGCCTGTACACGGTGGCTCTGGATGTCTCTACTCCAGACTCAGTCCACTGCTTCCGCAGGTCCCCTAAGGTCTGGAATCGGTCCTTCTCCATAATCTTCCTCAGGGACCTGTCACCTCTTCTCGTTGTGCAGCGTATTCTGCCACACTTTTCCTTCCCACAGACTTCCCACTGAGGTGCCTTGATGCAGCACTCTGGGAACAGTCTATTCATTCAGAAATTTCTTTCTGTGTCTTACCCTCTTGCTTGAGGGTGTCATTGATGGCCTTCTGGACAGCAGTCAGGTCGGCAGTCTTACCCATGATTGCGGTTTTGAGTAATGAACCAGGCTGGGAGTTTTTAAAAGCCTCAGGAATCTTTTGCAGGTGTTTAGAGTAAATTATTTGATTTAGATGATTAGGTTAATAGCTCGTTTAGAGAACCTTTTCATGATATGCAAATTTTTTGAGATGAGAATTTTGGGTTTTCATGAGCTGTATGCAAAAATCATCAATATTAGAAACAATAAAAGGCTTGAACTACTTCAGTTGTGTGTAATGAATCTAATATATATGAAAGTCTAATGATTATCAGTACATTACAGACAATAATGAACTTTATCACAATATGCTGATTTTTTTAGAAGGACCCGTATATATATATATATATATATATATATATATATATATATATATATATATATATATATATATATACACACAGGTGAGAACGTCTCTGCACACTCACGCATATAAATATCCTCTCATAAACTCATCTGGACTTCCTACTTGTTTGTTTTTAATGACAGAAAATTCAAAATGCAGAACTTATAGGAGTTTAGCAGCATGAGAAGCAGCCTGCTGTCCAAGAAGATCTATCTACTGATTTCTGCCTGCGAGCAAAATCTCAATAAAAGGGAATCAAAAGGTAACAGCTTGAGACGGTAATGTTTATTTTTCAGCCAAAGTGGCCACCAAGTTCCTGTTGGTTTTTAAGTTCGCAGAGATTTTCCCTTGGGGTGACTCATGCGTGCGTCACTCACGGGTTAGCTGCTGCTGGGAGGAGGAAGGGACCAATAGCAGCTCGCATCTGTTTTCCTGCACAGTCCACCTTAGATAGGATAGAGCCTATTGCCTCTAATCTTCGTTTCAGTCTTGAAGCATTGCGTGTTGTGCATAAATGGTGGAGATCCTTTCATCAGCAGGCAGATGCAGAAGGGTCTAGACTTGGCCATCTCCACTGTAATGTTTCGTTAGTTACATCTTACGTAATGGCCCATAAAATGTGAGATTCCAGAGAAAATATGAAATCAATTTAATGTATCTCTGAATATTACTTTAAACAGAAGATCGGAACTTTTTATTGCAGGGATTAGGTAACACTTTGTATTAACCCAGAGTCAAGAGAGAGAGAGAGACAAGTTTTAAAGTTTAAGCAGATTTATTTCTAAACAATTTTAAACAAGTCTAACTCTAACTCTAAACACTCTGTGTGATGAATGGATCTAGGTCTGAATGAGGCAAGATGGATGTGGAATGTTGCTATCAGAACTCTCGTTTTCGGAGAAGCGTTAGTTCTGTGTGGGAGCGAATGGTTTTGCTCTAAACTACAGTCGGAGTTTCAAAACCACATTCAGATGCCATATTGCCGCTCTACATACCCTTGGCGGAGACCTCCGTTTCAGATCCAGAATGCCAGGTCCTCTGACCCCTCTTGGTACCAAAGCCGATGAAACAGCGTACGGTACGACAGACTAGTCTTAGAATGCCTCCAGGTAAGCGACAGGAGATTGACAGCGTCAGCGGGACCCTGAAGGGTCAGTGAGTTCAGCTTTACTCTGAAGGAACGTTGCATTCAGGTGTAGCTTGCATAAGGTTTTATTATCCAGCTTGTCAAGGTTCTTTGAGGTTAAAAGGTTACGAGTGGCCGGCTCGAAACTCTAGAACGTTTGAACACTGAGTTATGGGTGACGTGGGAATTAGTTTTATAATTCAGATGTTTTGATTTATGGTTGAATCAGGATTTGACAACCAAAAGGGGTTTGTATAAACACCGCACAGACCACGCCATGGGTCGGAAAGGAAAGCTCTGATTGGAGAGACAAAAGGAATGTGTCATGTGATCTTAACATTACTTGTGATCAGTCTAGTGTCTAGCTTAAAGTTATATTACTTATTATATACTGTCATAGGATTATAATATCAAGTAATTAATATTCTCATTTCACAGATTGATTGAACATTAGGCTTCACATGATTATTTGGACTAACAAAGTTATTTGATTATTATTTAAAGAAAAAGAGTTCTTCATCTTCTTTCTTCTCTCTTGTGCTGTAGGGGGAGGCAATAGCTAGTGAAAACAGTTTAGATGCAGATGCATCAAAGGCCTTGAGCAATATCTCAAGGAGATTAGTTCTTCATGAGGAGAGAGGGGAAATGACCTTTAGGTGGAAAACGGTCATTTCATTCCGCTACACCACTGTGGCTGGGGAGAGCTACAGGGTGGCTGTAAGCAGTACTTCTGTTTCAGGCACATTCAACTATTGCTTTATAGATTCTGGTATTAAAAGTGAAATTTCCTTGTAGATTGGTTTTACAGAATCACTAGAGCCCATGGCTGCCAATGGCCTGATTGCTGAAAACCTGAAAAAACGACTTGGATGGAGAGACGCCTCCTTTACCCTAAAGTACCATTCTGATGCCCTTTTTGATTTTCCACTCTGGTTTGGCTTAAGCAAACGAACATTTCAGGTAGATGCCTGTTATTCTTCTCATAAAACATTTGCATGTGTTGTATTTAACTCGGGAACCTGGCTAATTTCTTCCTCTTTTGCCATCAAAGGTAAGACTGACCAGAAACGGCTGCGAATGAAGGACAAAACCCAAGATAAACGTATCTGCAATGTTATAAATTGCATATGGAGCTGCTTCTTTGAGCAAAACTGAAAAAAGGTACAGTACATCATCAGTGGATGACATAAGTCAGAAGACTTTGATGGCAGCTGGGACTTGGGTGACATTTCAGAGAACAAGGTATTTCGCTCGGCAGCAACAAGGTTCAAGCAAACCTGTTTACTAGTATTATTATGTTTATTTATGTCAAAAATATTCATCAATGCTGCTAAATAATCTGCTTTATTAGTGGTTGAACAAAGAAAAAGGGCAGTAAATGCTTTAAAATCCGAAGAGAATCAAAGGATTTTTATATTAAGAATTAAAAGTAGGTGAATTAAGGGATGAGCAGAAGAGCAGACGCGGCGCCGGTGATGGTCTCCATGTGCTCTTTGTAGTTCTGGCCGAAGTAGCTTCCCAGCAGGTGGTTGAGGATTCCCACGATGCACATCAGGCACAGGAAGCTGATGATGCGTTTCCCGAACAGGAAGCCTGGAGTGCTACAAAAACCAAAACAATATTGAGTAAAACAAATCTCTTCCAGACACATATAGGTCACTTAAATCTGGTTACCTCTGAGAGGTCTGTCCCAAATATCCAATAAAGTACTTCTGCCTGACAAGCAGGTAGATGATCCCAGCAAAAGCAGCCGGAGCTACAAGGGGAAAAAAACTATGAATACAGAAAAGCAGCAGTTGATTGTGTATAATTTTGTATCTTAAGCTGCTTTGAGTAAAAGAAAACACCATGTAACTGACATTTACAACTTTAGTGGTTCATGGAAATGCTGTTTTATAATCTGTTATGCAACTATAAATTCCACATAATCATTTACATAGAATTCTATGACAATTGGAGGCTGGCAGTGCTGTTGAAGCACGTGAGAAATGATCAAAACATTCTTCTTTTATAAGTTTAAGCGGAGAAAAGAAGATTCATTACACATTACAAATGCTTTTAGGACATGACGTAAATTATTTGCAATTAAACAAGTAAATTTGTGAATAATTGTGACTAAAGTCCAAAAATGTCTTTTTTAATCTCTGAAATTGTAAAATGATGCTGATGTTGGCATTATAAACATTTAGTTAATTTTTTGTGCTACAGTGTTTTTTTTAATTAAATGTAAGAAGAAAAACAATTTTTACTGTATTTTATTAATAAAAATATTATTTCATTAAATGTGTGTGTGTGGATCTCAATTTCCTGCCACTTTAAAACAGGTATTACTTTATGCACATAAAATACACAAAAAGTACTCCTGCTTTTAAATGTTAACCGAACGTCCCCCAGGTGAGTTTATGTTCTATGGCTGTGCGCTGTAGGACAACAGATTTAGTGAGTTTACTGATTACTTTGACTGAGACAAACTCCAGCACACCACATCACGGCCAGGAAGGTTGGGTAGGTATCCATGCAGTTACGGCTACAAAAGAAAAGAGAAATTAACACGTTTTTGGGAAGTTACCTGCAAGAAGAGGCTGAAGTAATTACACATCAGTTATGTTGAGACATGTGTAAGTGGCTGCTGGGTTTTGGAACGCCTGAGCAGAAGTGACTAAAGAAAATAACAGTCCGGAAAAACAGTGTGTTCCTGTGAGGTTGGCTGTTGCAACAGCATGAAATAACCTGAACAGAACCTCAAGTTTTAAACTTTTTCCACTTCCAGCATCATGTGATCATTTAAGAGTGTGAGCCCACTCTTCAAGTGTGGATTTGCATTGATACGTTTTCAAATTCATCAGCTTTCTGCTTTGTTTACCATAGTAAAATAGGTGCTGCTGCATGCAAATCTCACTAACTGATGGTATACAAGTTGTAGCCTGTGAAATGGCTGAGTTCATGCTTCAGGAAATCTACAAGTGTTCTTTTTAAAAAAATATGTCAAGCAATAATGATTTTTCTCTAAAACAGTGGCGCGCCCAGAAATCTTTCATATGGGGGCCACAAAATTGGTGCCTGTGGTAAGTTTGGCAGACAAGTAAGTAAAATTTTGTATATAGCACTCAGAGACAGAACATTGCAAAGTGTGTCGCATAAAACAAAACAAATCATAAAGTCATTCAATCATAAATGTATTTATTGGTCTCAACATTTATATCTTGAAGATGAATATATGATTTATTAAGGGGGGTGGGGTCTTTTCCAGGAAAGTCAGTAAGGTGGCCAACAATTTTCCAGGGGAGGCTACCCCTTGTGGAATACCACTGCTCAAAAAAGAAAATTCCCTAAATGATACAACTTGCGTTACAAGTACAAAACAAAGAGTGTAAATAAAGTATTCCCAAGGGTTTTCCATGAATAATTTTCCTCTAAATTTTGACAAGGTGTTACCACCCTTTTCTATTAGTTTATTTATTTATTTTAAATCACTGAAGAACAGAATGTTTTTGTGTTTTTGCTGTGGAAAACAGGAAGAGACTTTAATCTTACATCACTTGCCAGCATTAGCTTAAGTGGTCAACAACTTAAAAGTGCGCAACAAGTATGATTGATTTTATATTTGACTGATTATTTAGATCATTGGGAGAATTATATTCTCAGTTTTCTATTTAACAGCTTCTTAATTTGTTCCTTCATTAATAATTCTGTCATACTAGTTGGTTTCACCGTGATGCAGTAAAAATAACTTCAGTTATTTTATTTTAACATAATAATAAAATCCAATATCAGGATTTCCTCTTCCCTATTCAGGCCATTGGGAATTACCATAATGTGGGTGTAGTGTTTGATGGCGCCAAATAGAAACAACCAAACATGATGTAAAATTATCAAATCTCATTAATTTAAATGATTAGTTTAGATTATTAAAGCTTATTAGAGCACTTACTTGGCACATGAAACTCGCTCAAAAGCAGATGCGTGGGAATGAGGGTTGTTGCACTCCCTCTCAATCTTCTGAACAAAAAACACTGAACACACACATTTAAAAAGATGATTTAGAAGTATTTCAGGAGCTTATAAATATAATGGCCCGGACTCACTTGAAAAACGGCTTTTTAATCTCAATGGGTCCTTACTGGTTAAATAAAGAATAAATAAGTAATTTTTTCCTCACCATTCTGGAGAACACTAAGGAGTGTGACGATGACCAAGAGGTAGATATTTTCCACCGCTATTTTGCAGGAGTCCATGACTTTCGTGAGAGCTGCTGGATGCTGGTCTTTTTCACAACCAAATGCAAATTTTTAATTCATAATAATCTCCCCGTGACATCAATCACTCCTTTTCCCACATCCAGTCAACAAATAAGAGGGTTTCTGGCTTCCTCTTTATGTAAATGATGCTGTGGCTCAACACAGAGGCCTGCAAACATGTTACTTCCTCTTTATGTTTGTGGCACTGAGCAAATTGTATATGCAAACAAACTGGTGTGTCAATTTCTGGAGGTCTTTCTTGGAAATAGGATATTTTATATTTATGCCTTAGAATAGTAGGCTTTTTTCCAAAAAGGTGAAATAAATCAAAGTTAATTTCAAACAAAATTAGGAATTTCATAAATACTTATTCACAAAATACATTTGGGATGTTTTACTGTATTAATTCTGCACAGAGAAAGAGTCTGGTAACTCGCAGACAGAGGCACTTGTGGGGCGGGACTAGCCAGCTCAAAAATAATCAATCAGAAAAAAGACGGAAATGCCAACTGCACCACGCGACGCTGTAGTTTTTAGCTGTAGTAAAGAATGGCGTCTGGCGACAGCGCAAACATCTTTCTTTAGAAGAAAAGCTTTTAGCGCTTCTACTTGTGGTTTTAAAGACGTTCAAGTCATTTAGAACAGAGGAAAGAGCCGCTGCGAACTCCGCTTCAGTAGCCATGTTTATGACAAATTTGCGGTGTGTGACTTACGCTGCTCTGCGCTGATTGGCTCGGTTAGAATTCTCCGTGGGTGGGGTTATTTGAATCGGGGAGTTCCCATTTCGGAGGAGTCTGGCAGGCCAGGCTTTTTATGCAATGTCAGTGTAATGTATAAGGGTGAGTTAGACTTTTATTGTGAAGGGCACTGGAGGAGAGAGGTCACGTCCGGAGGGGGGAATAAAAGAAGCCTAAACGGCATGCTAAAAAGAAAAACTCGGTTCTCGTGTTAAGTTATGTCAACAAATAATAAACATTACAGTCAGGAATGCAGAACTGTCAAGTACACAGGTGGCAGGAACGGCCAATCACACGTTAGCAAGTGTCAGCAATCTAATCCAATCTAGAGCTATAGAGAGAGATTAGATCAGAGCTAGCTTTCTCTATAGCTCTGATCTAATCTAATAAAACCATCATGTTTCATACTTGAGTCATACTTAAGTCTAATATTACTAGTGGATACTCAACAAAAAACAGCTAATAAACTACTGTTGGTAAAAATATTAGAATTATATTGAAGGATAGAAATTTTCAAAGAAGGCAAGTTTTTGGAATGAGGTTTTACTGCCCTCATGTGGTCACTGACGAGAACTGGAGCCGCTGCGACAGGTAAGAGGTGAAAGGTTCCCTTTCTGTTTAGTGCCACCTACTGGCGGAACTGGGTATTGCGCCTTAAACTGCCTACTGTTTCTCTTCAGCCCCCTCACCCCCACCCCCACGGTGTGGGGTACCTCAGGGATCAATTCTTGGTCTCCTGCTTTTCTTTGTATCTCCTGCCACATGGCACAATCTTTAGAAGCACAAAATGTCATTCCCTTGCTAAGCAGCGGGTACATTTTTAGTTATTTGTATTTTAAATCTAGTCTCCACCCACAGGCACCATGTAGGTCACCAACCAATCAGGCTTATGAAAGAAAAGAAAAATGTCCGTGAGGTACTTCGCACTCTCAGCCAGCCCAAGCTGGAGGAGAGATAAAACAAAAGAAACAAGAAATCCGAGACTGCTATGTGGTATGGTACCCTGCGTAAGCTACATTGGAATCAATCAGCAACATTGTCTGATTATTTAACAAAACAGCATGCTAATCGCCTGTTCCCGCGTGTCCCATATGGTCTAGCGGTTAGGATTCCTGGTTTTCACCCAGGCGGCCCGGGTTCGACTCCCGGTATGGGAACGAATGAGTCTTTTATGTCCAGTGATCATTTACACAGGATTACTTGATGCTGTGACGTAGAACTGTCTTTGTTACTGATGAATCAGTACGTTTCACATTACTTCAATCAATCAATCAAAGCTTTATTTATAAAGCGCCTTCCGCAACCCTGTCAGGAAGCCCAAAGCGCTGAATACTTGGCCTATTAAAACAGAAATTACCCCAAAAACTATTTCCACGTTCATGTGAAGTTTTTCTCATCACTTTTATCTAAATTCAATTGATTTTAACAAACTTTAAAAAGAAGACAAATACAAAAGAAACTTTATTAAAAATTCAATATAAATATTTTATTCCCTCCACATCAAATCTTGTTGGAGAAATTGCGATCAGTAAACAAAAAAGACTTTCTGAACAAATAATATGCAAGATTTAAGTCATACATATTTTAAATGACAAAAAAATATTTACAGTTGAGTTTCAAGTCATTAAAAAAACTTCCAACAATGCTTCTGCACAGACTACTTAGTGCAATATTTATGGGAAAATCTAGACAAAAAGTCAACAATTTTAATGTGCTGGCTGGAAAATGTCATCAATCCTGCATTAGCACAACATAATTTTACCATGAGACAAACAGGTGAGGTTCAATGTGCCTGCAAAGTAAAAGATCTCAGTTAGCCTCTAAACCACACTGCATGAGAAAATCTTCCAGGAAGTTCTCATGCTCCAGACCGTTCCCGCCACAACTATTCTGCGAAACCATGCTGTTCACATGGTTGGTTCCATCCTGCCCATTGGGTATCATCTCTAAAAAGCCGGTGCTGTCCGGTGAAAAGTTGCTGGCCGTCGTCGCTGGTGACAGCAGGTCTGACAGGAAGTCATCATCATAGGTGCTGGAGGTAACTGTACTGGGAGAGGTCAGGGCGGTGCTGTCTGGTCGGAGGCCAGCTCCTTCCTGGTTCCCCAACAGCTGGTTCAGCTTAGCAAGCTTCTTTTTCTTGGCTTTGAGCTTCTTTAGGAGTTTGTATCTGAGAGTTTCTGTTTGGTTGAGACCTGGAGGAACATTTGAGGAGTAGCTGCCATGTTTCTTTGAGGAATAGACTTCAGCGACAGAAGGCATCATCCCAGGCATGGGTTGGTTTGAAGTGGGGGCCTCAGACCGTTTTGGGTAGCCGTTGGAGAGCAGAGGAGATGGCAACTCGCTGTAGTTGGTGGAGCTCTTTAAACCGAATCCACAGTACATTTCTGCAGCTTTTGGGGGGAGACCCAGACTCTCCTCAGTAACGAGCTGTAGCGTAGGGAGTCCTGCCGAAATCCTTTGTCTCTTTATGGGATTTGGAGTAGAGTGAACTGGATGAGAGGGCTTTACTTCTGGGACTGGAGGGGGGATTTGGGTGGGAGTGGGTTTAGTTAAGTACTTGCGATAATGGTTTGCAGGGAGTTTGCTCAGCAGGAAGGACAACTGAGCGTTCCGATCTAGTAAACTTTTCTGGCTGGTGAACAGAGACGAGGAGTCAGTTGAAGACCCGGGTGATGCTTGTGGTGTAACCTCTACAGGCGTGTGACTGAATTCTTCGGGGAGATCAGAGGAGCTCTGCAGTGCTGCTGCTTTACCTCCCCGTCTCCTAACCCCTTTCTCCTGACTCGTGCCTTTTCCTCGTTGTCTTTTGGCTCCAGGAGCTAAAGGTGCGTTGGTGGATGAGCTGTCGACTGACTCCGTTTTGGGCGATTCCAGGGCTGCAGGAGGCTCAACAACGTCTTTGAGACACACGTCTCCATCTGCTGCAGAGATGGAGCTGTCTGGTGAGGGGCCCGGCCCTTCAGTCTTGGTAGGAGGATCCGTGTATTTAGCTCGGTGGTTTTCATTCAAAAGCTTCACTTTGGAATCAGCTGGATCAACATTAACCAGAGTGAGTGTGATGATGTCATTGTGGCTGAGGCCCTCAAAGGTACTGAGAAGCGTGCTGTCACCGATCGACATATTAACATCAGCTGTAGCTGCACAGTCTGTCATGTTGCTGCCATCTTCTTCTGTAAGCGCACAGATTATGTCGGTGTCATCGTGAAGCACAGGAAAGGACTGATCTGGCGTCTGATCCGACGCTCCGTCCACCATCATGTAACTTAAACCTCCTTCCTTCTCAGGTGAAGAAGGTGGAGGGATTGCATCCTCCTCCATTTCCCAGAAAACGATGTGGATCTCATGAGCAGGGACCTGGAGCTTTTGGTGGATCTTAAACTCAGGGTGCTTTAAGTCATCATACTCGAGCCACGATCCTGGAAAATAAAACGCAACAGAGCAATCAAGCAAAAATCAGAAAAAAGTAAGGAAATATGAGACCAAGTCAAATTAAGACAAACACCAGAACCATTTTAACTGGAAATCTGAGGTTAATGAACTCAACCAAAGAATTTGCGCAAAACACGTACCGTCGTCATTACGAACCCATGTGACAAAGTGCTTTAGCTGGTGGTCGTACTGGATGATGGTGGAGATGGAGTAGAGCTTCCTCTTGAGGGTGAAGGTGAAGAGACTGACGTCACAGTCAGGAAGCCCCTCCACAAAGTGCAACACGAACACTGGAGACAAACTACGCAACAACACAGAGACAACATTAAGGTTTTCTGTTGGAACTCGGTGCACTGATTTATCTCAATATTTCCAGTTATGGCGGTTTTTCTTTTATTGATCATTTACAATAGTAAATAATATATAGTGCAATTCTAACTCTGACTGCTAGGTGGCAGCTGGTTTAACATAAAACATCCAGGCGGCCCACCTCGATAGAACTATGCAGGACAACATCTGCATGCTTGTACCTTTTCAGTGGCCTCGTGGTAGGAGTGTCCGCCCTAGGGCTGGGAGATCGGGGTTCAAATCCCACTTCACACTCAGCTTTAAGGGGTTGGATTGGTGGGACTAAACACCAAATAGTTCCTGAGCACACTGCTGCCAACGAGGATGGGTCATATGTGGAGATGTAATTTCACCAGTGTGTGATGATGACTACGGGACTTCACGTTACCTTTAGCTTTTATCCTTTCATTATAGCGTTTATTAGATTGCAATCTTTAGATGGCATGCTGTCATTTCCTGTCTTGTATGTAAATGTTAATGTACATTTGAGTGATTTAATGAAGATCGTTAATCAAATTAAATCACAATACTTGAAATAAATAAATAAAAAGCAATTTAATATCCATCCATTTTCTGAACCCGCTTGTCCATGTGGGGTCGCGGGGGGAGGGGGGCTGGTGCCTATCTCCAGCGGTCAACGGGCAATCAGGCGGGGTACACCCTGGACAGAGAGCCAGTCCATCGCAGGGCAACACAGAGACACACAGGACAAACAATCACACACACACACACCTAAGGACAATTTAGACAGACCAATCAACCTAACAGTCATGTTTTTGGACTGTGGGAGGAAGCCGGAGCACCCGGAGAGAACCCACGCATGCACAGGGAGAACATGCAAACTCCATGCAGAAAGATCCCAGGTTGGGAAGCGAACCCAGGACCTTCTCGCTGCAAGGCAACAGCTCTAACCACTGCACAGCCCAGCAATTTAATATTTTTCTACAATTGTTCAGCCCAAGAACCCCCCCCCCCCCCCCACACACACACACACACGCTATTGACTGTTTAACACATGAACGAATAATTCCTGATTCATTCAACACTTTTGTCTCAGTAAATGAGGATTATCTTCTGGTGTTTGTTCAACATAAAGTTTGATTCTTACCTCTCCAACAACATCGTCCTCCTCTGGTTCTTCATGCCACACATGTTACACGGGGAGAAGTGAGCTGCGTTTAGCGGACGCCAGTCTGGCACGATATTTGTGAAGGTGGGGAGAGTTTTTATAACCCTAGAAAATACATAAAACACAAGTTATGAGCACTTCAGACCGCTGTTCTCCTGCTGTTCAAAGGTAACATGGCTTGAAAACATTACAGCCTGCTATCAGGGTACGAAGTACAGAGGTAAGGGATCTACCGACCGCAGAAATAGGGGGGGGTGCACTGTGTATTTGTGCACAGCCCATTTGTGCAGCAGTGAGGTGAAGCCACTGGGGCGTGGGTGATGCGCTCTGAGTGGCGGGGCGCGTCATGACAAATAAAAGGCAGAAAGTATCAGAGAATGAGTGGATAGTGTGTTAATTATATTTTTTGGGTGGTGCCACTTTGAGAATGTTACTGTGGCCGTGCAGAGGACGCAGCTGCTTGGAGCCCATCGACAACCGGCCCTCTCAGCCATCTCTGCTCAAAAGAAGCCTCGGTACATCGAGAGTCCATATAAATAGTGCTGCCACGGGTAGTCGACTTGTCACGATGACGTAGGCAAACAAAATAGTCGACTACAAATGTAATGGTAGGTGTTTATTCTATGAGCATTTCTTGATCTCGCCTGCTGCGGTTACTTTGGTGGCCGTTTTCTGCCTATCTGCTGAAGGCACATGCGCAGCAGTGGCCATCCAGATCAGCTTTCGAATCGGAATCTCCAGAAAAAGACGACATCGTGGTGAGTCGGCAACGTAGCTCAAAAGTTTGGGAGCACGTCCTGGCGAAGAGTTGCTCTCTTCTTGTTAGCTGCTAACGGAGTTATTTGTTATCATAGGTGTAGCAACAACAGCAGTGATGGTGATTTTATTACCTTTAGAACACGTATGTGTGTCGCATATTTGCTCTAATGTTACAAACGCTAATGATTTCTTTTATCCTGCTATGTTACATTGTTCCTCTTCGTTTAACATTTGTTACAAAGCCAGAAATGACTATTTTAGCTGGATACATTCGTGAGCACACGTCATTTTGGGGAACAATCTATTTCTGGTTTTAGGTGCCTACCTCCTGTACCACTGTAGCATTTGTAATAACAGGCTACAAAGTGAATTAAAAGTTGTTTAATAAGCCATCATCTTGTTTAGATGGCACAACTGATCACACTTGATGAGTAGATTACAGCATCCCGAGGAAATAAGCTATACTTTTCTGTAGGACATGATTAGTCGACTATTACAATAGTTATTACTGGCAGCTCCCACATATAAATATTATAATATGGGGTGACACTTGATCTTTTTCAGGCTCCCCCTGAGTGTGTAAGTTAAGGGCTTCTAGGGGAGCTTGTCACCCTTTCAGGGGAGCCGGGCTCCCCTTAGCTCTCCCGTAATTTGAACCCTGTCCACTATCCAAATAAATGACTCTTAGTGCAAATAGTTGTACCAACGAATCGAGGTTTTCATGTGAAAATCCTCTAAACTCTCACACACGCTAACACAATTTATGCCAAACAGTGTTCTTAAATTCATTCAATCATCAGCATTTCCCTCTCTCTTTTTTTTTTGACAAAAGAGCTCAAATCAAAATCCTCCTTTACCTTTCTTTAGTGATCACTTTGCATCCACTGCACCTGAACTCCCACTGGAAGGTGGACTGGAAGAGTTGCTCCACCTGGGAGTCCAATGCAAGGAGGAGAGGCATGGCGAATACCGGAGTTTCCATTTTACCTGAAAGGCAGCAGCGCTGGACGTCAGAAAACAGGTCACCACGTCTGAAGAATAAAAGTCCCTTCCACTTCTGAATAATCTTCCAACATTGCTATTCCCCTCTGTGAACTCTAAATGCTCTCAGTTCCACACAGAAAGAACTCCAATAAGCAGAGGAAGCAAGTTTATACCCAACACTTTCTGAAGCTTTAAAGGATTGAGTTTAAATCTAGTGTTGGACACTAACACAGCGACTCACCGTGTCAAAAGCAGGTAAGACGCCAAGAAGACAAGAACACACTCACACACACACTAATGAGAAAAAAACACCCACGTAATTAAAAGCTTTTTAGTAGATCGAGGAGCTTAAATAAGTTGTGCAGAAAATGTGTGTGTTTCCATTTTCTACATAAAGAACCTGCTGAGTCAGGACAGACATTTTTATCATAGTAATCAGCGGGGCTGTGAGGTGCGACGGCTCAGATTTATGTTGTTTTCCACATGCAGCTGCTGAAGGAGCGTGGGACGGCCTCTAAAGTCAAACACCTGATGAAGGGATCAGCAGTGAATTCATGAGAGAAAGAGTGAAGTTTGGGGAGTAATCTAAATTAAATATCCAATAACTAAACTTCTACAAACTGTAGGGTCGCCATAGGCTCCAATGCAGTGGTCTGAAGAGATTTTAGTGGTATAATCTGCCCCGCCTCACAGAAACAAGAGGAATTTAAAACAAGAGGCCTTCGCAGCGCTTTCGCTGCTCGGGCCTAATTAAGACTGTTTTGTGGTTAACTAAATGCAGTGATGCCATATTTAGTGACCTTTTACAGCCCTCTTGTGACTCTTTTTCAAAAAAGAAACAAATCCAGTGACTTTTCCTCATCTCATTGGGGACTTGGAGATTTTTACCAAGTGCAAATCTCGCCATCATCGCCCCGACTGAAGGTGGGTTGGGTCAGCCAGCGGCGGCATCATCGGGAGAGGAGCTCACGGTGGAACCGAGGAATCACGCCTCGTGCCAGTTTATACTCTCATCCTTTTTTGTTCTGTTTAGTTTGGTGATGTAGATTTTATCCAGAAGTGGTGAAAAATATTCACTTGACCAAACAAATCATTTGAGGGTGAAAAAAACAACAACCTGCAAGTCATTAATTTATTTAGGATGGTTTTTTTTTACCACTTTTTCTCTCCCATGAAGTTCTCCTCTCCTACAGCATTTACTACAATTGCACATTATGTAAAAGAGATGATGCCATTTAGTGACTTTTGAGGCAGCCAATAGCTACTTTATTTTCTGGGCTGAGAATTTTAGGAAACAGGATATATGTGAGGATAAAAGCAGAAGTTTCAAAGACTTCAGGTTAAAAGTCGACTCTGCCGCTAAACGGGGCAAGCTGGGGATCTCAAACCTGAACGCACCCAGTTTGCATTGCAGCTTGGGCTGCAGCAGCTTGAACACAGACATCCTCAGACTCTGCAAGTCATGGTTGGCTTTTTGCAGCGTGGGCCTTGGTGCCCGCACAACACCATCTGGTCAGAAACAACACAAGGATGGGAAAAATGAGTCAGACCAACACATTTTCTACTTACCTCCGGTGGGGTGTCAGTTTTACACACTCCCATGTTTGCGAACATCTCAGTACAAAAAGACCATGCGACCATTTTGCAAAGGAACATCTCCGTGTTTTCCAATAACAGAGCACAAAGCTAAAACTCACCACTGCCAGTCTGTTGGTGCAGCCGGACGGCAGCGCAGATCTCTTCGTATCTACTAATCAGCTGCCACACAGACGAGCAACGAGGCTGTTCTTCTGGTTTACATTTCCTCAAGTTTTTACAATTCACCAAAGCAGCAAGCAGCGAGTCCAGCCAACACAGGTTCTTACTGTTTCTCCAAAGCAGCCGCGTCGGGACAGACACCAGCTTCTCTGGCCGGTCCAGCGAGGTGCAGGGGAAATCTGTATCCTCTGAAATGATGGATTTGGCTTCTGCACTTGAAGAAAAGTCTTCTACCAGTTCCTCCTCTGCTGTTGTCTCTTTGTTAGTGGTAGAGTTCTCCGGACTGTAACCCAGTCTGCTGTAACCATTCAGAACAGGAACATTTTGGTGCTTAAAGTCCGTTTCTGAGGCACAAAGATGGAGAGAGGGTGCAGAATCGGTTCCATTACTGTTCAAAACGTCTGAAGAGCATTGAGGAGAGAACACGGATGTAGCAGGTTCATCTGGAACGGCAGCACAGCCTGGAAACACGCCTTTATCTTGTAACCCCGCTGTCTCTGCATCCCAGAAGTCTCTGTGGAATCCATTAACCTTTCCATCCTCAGTCTTGTGTGTTGAATTTACGCCATTTGTGACCGGACTCACAGAACCCGGCTCTAGCGGCATAACAGGTGGGTCCGTGTCCCTCCGCGCCCAAAGATCACCCCCTTCGGTTGACCGTAGGCATTTGAGAGGAGATCTGATCACCTCTTCCTTTTCAAGTTCTGAGTCAAGTTTTCTTTTGTTCCCGGCACCGGGAACCACCGGAACCAAACTGGCCAAGACATCCTCCAAGGGTCGAGTCACCAGAGGGAAAAGGCACTGCACGATGAGCGGATGCAAACGGGTTAACAGCAGCAAACAGAATGTGAAACCCTCTGATGCCAGCGGTGCTGGGACTTACCTGTGGGTTCGTGCAGAGGGTGATGGACTCCTGCAGGTTGATGCGGTAGGAGTGCAGAGCGTAAATGAGGCCCTTGGACGTGCACCAGGGACAGGACTCCAGCGAAGCAGCTCTCTCCTGAACCTAAGAAACGATGTCACGAGTAAACAAATAGAACAACACGTTTGAAAAATGACAGAAAAATGTATCGGTATCATTATGTTTCAATCCAAAATTTACTTAATTTAGCAACTCTTAGTATTCTTGTAAGAGCACTTCAATTTATTTCAAATCATAGCTTAACACTTAAAGATTTATCAAACATAAAGATAAAAATTAGGTAAGATTTGTTTTGATCCGACATCGAGTGTCGGTGATACAGAAGCAGGAAGTAAGGAAGTTTAGGTTTAAGGACAATAGTCACTCTCCACATCATTTAAGCAAACCAGAAATACTTTCGCCTTTTACAGATTTCCTTTTGTGTTGATCTTTTCGATATTTTAATTTGGATTGGTACTGTTCAGTCACAGTGAGAGTTTTTCAAATACAATTCAGCTTTGCGCAAGTGACGATTGCGAGAGGAAAACAAGAGCTCCACTGACTTTTCCCAAATACCCCGCCAGTGGTGAGGCCAAAGCCTCCAAACCAGTGTCTTCACCAGTCATGGACAAACAGCAGCTGCTCTCCGGATCCACGGCTCTCTGGTGGCATCCAAAAAACAATACCATGTCACTGCAGCCTGCTCATCTGCAGAGGGGCTGAGGGGGAAAATATACACCAGCATGAACGTTAAACATGTCACATACGTGGGAAAGAAACAAACCCTGAAGTTTAGGTTTGAATCAAAATAAATCATATTAAATATTAAAGTTCTTGGGTAATTTTGATATTTCTATATTTTGGTGCAAAACTACATTTTTTGTTACAATTACAATATAATGGTACAGTGATCCCTCGTTTATCGTGGTAGATGCGTTCCAGACCTGGCCGCGATAGGTGAAAATCCGCGAAGTGGGGACACAATATTTACAGTACAGTACTATATTGTATGATCACATTCTCTTTTTGTGGGTAAAACTCAAGAAAAAAATTTTTTACTTGGTTTTTTTATAGTTTTATTACAAAAAGTGCATTTTATGATGAAATTGATGAAAAAACAGGAATTTCTTGATATTTCGCATAGAAAAATACCGCGAATCGGTGAAAAATACTGCGAATCGGCGAATTTCCCTAGAATAAGGCTCCAAAGAAAAAATCCGCGAAGTCGTGAATCCGCGATAAACGAACCGCGAAGTAGCGACGGATCACTGTAAAATAAAACCAAACTGTTCCTACATCTACCTACGAAAAAGGATTAGGGCAACTGAAAAGAAAAAATTTTGACTTTAATCTCAGAATTATGACTTCTTGACTTCAGAGGTCGGCAGATATTGGTTTTTCTATTGCTGATACCGATATGTAGGAGACAAGGTCAGTCTATGGCAGGGACTGAAGCAAAAAAATTCTGACTGAAAATTATGGGGGGGGGGGGGGCTCACGTTGTTTACACGCAGCCACTATTCGGGTTTTGATTGGTTTTAAGGTCAGTATTCTTGTTTATGAAATATTTGGAATAACCCGTTCACATATACAGTGTTTAAAAGTGTGGGTGTTGAGATTTCTCCGAGGTAAAAAAGACGATAAGTATTAAAGTACTCTAGGGGGGCGGGGGCACACCCCCGTGAAAAAAAATGATTGGACACTTTATATTTAAGCGCATCAGTCTGGTGCATTTTTGGGGGGAAAAGTAGAGTTACATGCTGGTAGGTATGTATGATAAAGTATCTATACATGTTCATTATAGCAATGTTTTCCTGTCCTTTCTTAATCCATCATGAACACAGACTACAGTGAAATCCACTGATGCATCCATACTGCTCAGTACCAGATGCACTAGTTACCAAAAGAACCAATCAGCTGGCAGAGCTCCATGTTGAATGTGCGAGCTGCAGAACTTGCAAAACTACGTGACTCAATTTAAGGAACAAAGTAGAATCCAGCTGCTGTTATTTATTTGTTGTTGGTGTTTATAGAAACTAAATATATCTGCAGGGCTTTAGGCCCAGGTCAAGGATGTGTCTGACTTTAAATCGGCTTCACTAGGGCCAAATATCTGCCGACGTAAAAAAAACTGTAAATATCAGCCCGATATATTGGTCTGCCCCTACTTGACTTCTGAGATTAAAGCGATGATGTGTACTTTCCCTGGCAAAAGGGGGCAGTATATACCTAAATCATTGCAAGCAAGCAGTATTTTTGTGTTCAAGTTAGGGCTGAATGATTGCATATGCAATTAAATTGCGATGTGACAAAAGGAGATTTTCTAATAGCAAAAACTGCGATTTGACTGGCAGCGAGTCGTTAGCACAACGCTAATGTACATGGAAGAACCCATAGGGATGCTAATGCTAATATCGCCGATTACATTCTTACAAATTACAAATTAGGAACGTGTCAAATGGAGTCTAATAAAATATAAAAACTGCCATCAATCAAATATGCACAGACAGGTATTTTAGTAAAGCTAGAAAACCATAAGACTTTAAATCCACTGAGTTTTGGCTAGCAGCTATGAACGTAACTGAACTAAGGAAGCTCTGCATGGACAAGACGTCAAAAACTCTAAACACAAAAGACTTCAATAAACTGAACACACTTCTTTCCTGTTAATAAATTTTCACAGCTGATGCTAATACCCATGCTCCTTCAAGGGATGTGCTACTGGCTGCAAAGGATCGCACCTCCAAATACAAAATTTTGTCTTTACTTGTGAGTGTAAAAACTAGTTGATATGATATGTAGATATATAATCTTGTTTATATTCAGTACAAGTTACATAGGTATTTTTTTGCTTCCATTAGTTAAAAAATATGAGAAAAGCCCCTTGAGAAAATTGTAATATTGAAGAAAAAAACATTGCAATTAGATTATTTTCCAAAATCAATCAGCCCTAGTTCAAGTAAATCCTTATCAATGGATGGCCATTTGGGTAAAATTCAGCAAAATGACAACACATCAGACTCCCTTTCATCACTGGCAACAAGTGAAGAGGTAAATGTGTAAAACAACAATGTTTTTGAATGATGAAATTACAATTACAAATCAGTGAATGCATTTTGTCCTCACAGGCTCCCGTAGAAGGAAGCATTGCTTCTTAAGCCGGGTGTACACTGTGCTACCTTTTCACTTTTTTCAGACGATTTTGTGGATCGATTTACTGGTCGATCTACGTTCCCACCCTCACCTATGGTCATGAGCTTTGGGTAGTGACCGAAAGAACGAGATTGCGGGTACAAGCGGCCGAAATGAGTTTTCTCCGAAGAGTGGCTGGGCTCTCCCTTAGAGATAGGGTGAGAAGCTTGGTCATTTGGGAGGGGCTCGGAGTAGACCCACTGCTCCTCCACATCGAGAGGAGCCAGTTGAGGTGGCTCGAGCATCTGGTCAGGATGCCTCCTGGATGCCTCCCTGGTGAGGTTTTCCGGGCACGTCCAACAGGGAGGAGACCTAAAGGTAGACCCAGGACACGGTGGAGGGACTATGTCTCTCACCTGGCCAGGGAACACCTTGGAATTCCCCCGGAGGAGCTGGTCCAAGTGGCTGGGGAGAGGGAAGTCTGGTCCTCTCGCCTTAGGCTACTGCCCTCGCAACCCGACTCCGGATAAGCGGATGAAAATGGATGGATGAGACGATTTTCCCCTCGTGTGAGAATCTGAGACTGGAGCGAGTTTTGCACTGAGCATCGTGCAGTATACAGTCCGGCGTGTTGCTACCAGACGTACAGCGTGAGCAGTCAGGTCGCATCCGAGAACAGGGTCGTACAATGTGAGCACATGACTTGTGAGATTTGCTCTGTGAGGAAGTCATACAGTTTGAGCTGAAGCTGAGTGCAAAAGTCGCACAGTGTCCACCCAACTTAATATAGCGTCACTCTGAGACTTTAGACCTGCTTTCATGCATTTTAGACCTGATTTTTATGGTTATAAATTATGAAGCCACCAATATTTTTCAACAACTGGGCAATAGTTAATTAATTTTCAACAACATTTCTTTGGATATTAATGGGTAATAGCTACACATTGTCTCTTTAAAGTAAGACATTTTTGTTTCATTTTCAGTGGCCCTAATCCTATTCCATATATCTGGTTCTCTATTTTGTCGTACAGTACAGCACCTGATGAAGGCAAGAGTAAGAGTCTGTGAAGCTTAAGGTAGTAACACACATTTATGCATTTTAATTAGACTTTCTGTAACGCAGTGTGATTCATTTCTACAAATATGACCAATATATGTCCTTTCTGTTTCTGTACATCACAAAAGATTATGCACCCATAATTTAGTAGAACATACTTATGATTTACAACAGCTTACTCTTTATTTTACAGTTAACACTGAAAAGACTGCACATACATTGCAGTTAATATTACTGACACAATGGAAATCAAACGGCATTATTTATAAAATAAATTACTTCTTTTAATTAAAACTACCTTAAATGTTATGTGTATGCAGGTGCTGATGTTGGTAATCCATCCCAGCTACATTTTAGCCACTTGAGTTGACTCCACACTGTCACATAGCATATCAATTGTTACATAGTATTCTAAATAGGTCATTTTTGACATAACACAATAATTATTGGTTTAACGGCGTAATTTACAAGAATAATTATAACAAATGAAGATATTACAGCAACAACATTAACCTAAACATATTTACAGTAACTATTGCATGAACTCCCTACTAGCGGTATGCTAAAATGCTAGCTAAAGGTCAGAAAAAAATTAATTTGCGTTTATTTTTAACTTAAGTAAATTAATACATACCAAAACCCGCGTTGAATTCGATTTAATATTACGATGTAGAGGAGAGAAAGCCATCCACGTAGAATCAAAGACTTAACACTTGCCGGTGCGTAAGATCCATGTGCAACTTATGTCAGCTCGTTTAAGAAACGTTCAACTTCCGGCCGCCGGTGGTGCGTCGGTTTTGTCTTCCCCGTACGAGCGAAAACGTTCCCACAGGCCCCCACGCGGTGGGTTGGTGAACTGCAGGTACGTTATTGTTCACATTACGGCAGCCTCAGCACATAAAACCAGCGCTAACCGGTTTCATGTGTTTAAAACAGCTTAGTCACATTTGGTCACGCTGTTAATTACTACCATGATTTATTAAAAATAAAAGTCTGTATATTTGCGGACATTTTCATGTAGAAACACATTGTTTTGTTTGTAATTGAACATGTTAGTAGCAAAATATTGTATTTATGTAAAAATTATAAGTAGTCTTTGTGTAATTTGTTTTGCAAAGTGCATCAAATAAATTTAATTATTGTTGTATCCGCAGAAGAAACAAATAGGAGTAAAAATCTGTCAACTTGTCATGTTTACCGTAAAAGTGGCATCAACACACTTGAGCAAATTACAAAAGTTGAATTGTTCTGCAGCTTTTACGTTTATGAAACAACAAATAAAGGAAATAGAAAAATATACAATAGCAACATTAAGCAGGTTAGATAAAATATGCATTTAATCTAATATATAGTCATGTAGGCATGTTATGGGCTTTGGAAATAAGAATGACTATTAAATATGCATTCAGTTACTTTATGTAGATTAAAGGCTTGTCTGATGAAGGTTGGGGGTGGGATGAAGTCCACATATGTTTCTTCTACCATTGTACCCCTCCCTCCCACTCCTCCACACACACAAATGCAAACACACTTACAGACGTGTAGATTCGCACCATTCACACACACACCTCCCTCAACCCAATCCCGCCTCTTGCGTGTGCCCTCCTCCCTTCAGGCCCCTCCTGTATCTGCTACTCTCCTGTCCTCTATTTTCCTCTTGATGACAAAATGAATTTGCATATTTTTCCCAGGGAGCGCTCATTAGAATGCATAAACATGAGCCGGCTATAGCTTTCTGCCGTGGCATCTCCTGATGCAAAATGAGGCGCAGACAGGCAGCATCACAGGCAGACATGTGGCCTGAGTCTGGGTTGTGATTGGCATGTGGAATCAGTTCATCCTTCTCATTCCTAATTCAAGGAAGGGAATCAACAGTGCCGGCCATTTTTATTTGTTTTTACATTAGCTGTTAGGAAGCAGAGTGGATTTACTCACAACAGTAAGCATGTCTAGAATTAATTATAATTTGCGTTTCAGGGTGAAGTTGCGTTTTTCTTTACTTTAACACCCTTTAAATGGCACAGACAGGCCTTTAAATATGAACTTTCATTTTCAAAGTTACAAGAAAGACCAGATTTCACACATATATTTAAAAAGTATGCCCTCTGAACTCTATGTATCTGTTCATCTAAATCTGCATAATAGTGGTGCTAAAACAATGTTAAGAAGTGAGGTAGATCAGCTTGTATTGATAGTGATCGGGTTACAGAGGTCAAAGCATGATGCAACAAATCTTATATTTAATTTGGACAAACAAATGACAAATTTCAGTTCGATTCAGCTTCTGTCTATGTTACAAATAAGAACACGGGCACATATTTAGTAAACAAATTCTTAAACTGCCTTGCCAAAAGTAAGTTTGGATATTTCATCTAATTCCTTAAAGATTCATAATATGTTTGGTGCACAAGTAATCTTAATGTTTAGCATCTGCTGATGAGAAAAGCAAAGACAGAAAATGGGACCTTTCATTACTTCTTGACTATGTTAATAAGCCAAATCATTAAACTGTGTAACAGAAACACAAGAATTTGTAGTTTTACTGGGTTTAGAGCAATCATAAGATATGAAAACGACAAATCTCCTGGGACATACATCGTATGTGTGTTAAACAGCTTACCTGGCAAATTTAAACTGGCTCTATAGTACACATCTATTCCAGCTTACTGCTTTATGACTAAATAAGTATTCCTAAATCTGACTACATACCTGATGTGAATATATAATCAGGCCTCGTGGAAAGTATATAATTAATCCAAGGCATGACAAATATTAAACTGTCATCATTCAACCCAAAACATTAGTAGTTGCAATCCATATTACCATAATATCTTTTAAATGAAGCTCTTAGATCTTTAATAGTCACAAAGGTTATCTGTGATCTTCATCTTACAATGATGCTTTAAATGTAAATAACAGGACATGAGATCAATATGTGTCACAATATCAAAATACTAAATATCTTCCAGACCTTTCTTTTTTGTCCTAATTAAAACTATTAACCACTTTATTAAAGAGCTATGCTTTAGTACTGGCCTTAACAGGAAATAGCACATTATTATCTGGCAATCAGATATCTTAAAAAGCTTTCTGAGTCTGATAAATCTCAAACTGTCGCCCAGAAAAAACAGTTACAATCAGAAAAATACTTACACATAGGCATTACTGCTTTTAATTGGCCACGTTTAGTTTACATTTAAAATGCAAAGGTGTAGGTAAAACTAACAAAAGTACATAAAATATATGCAGTAAAGTTTTAATGTATTTTTATCTAAAGGAACAAAAAAGTGCTGTTTTGCAATGATAGTGTGTTTAATTTCTGTCTATAATAAGCCCTCACTGAAAATCAGACGTACTCAAAACAATGGAAAAAGTTGCGGTTTCGTTTTAAGAGGTGAATTTCCTTAAATTTTGCATTTCTAGTGCCCAACTAACCCTCTGGAAGAGAGCAACCGAGTCTTTTGTCCTTTGCATATGATTTCGCTAAGTTCTCCAAACGCATTTTAAACGCCGTGATTGCAAATGAGCTCGCGTTTACGAGGGAGACCATAGAGTGGAGTCGGCAATTGGAAACGGAACAAGCCCTCCATCACGGTGGAACAACATCTAACAGCCTCTTCCGCTCACTGGATACAAGCGCTCCACGTTGTCTCATTCATTTAGCTTGCCTACTACTGTACACTGTGCTCAACGTAGTGAATTCAATACTATGGCAAACACACTACACTACTACCAGCTCCAGCACGCTCTGACTGAAATATTTTTGTATCCACGCGCCTCGGAAAAATTCGATGACGTTTCACAAAAGACAGCCAATAGGAGCTCGTCTTCTATTAGGACAATGAAAAGCCCCGAACCAATCAGAGGAGCGGCAGACCGGGCGCTAGCCAATGGCGTGCGAGACCCGCTGAGAGTAATGTTGAGAGAGCTAAAGACTGAAGACACTGCGTATCGCCTGTGCTCTCTCATACACAGCCATTGCAGTGCATTGAGATCCAGCTCAGTCTATTGGTAAGTATCATACACACGAACATTTTAAGTGTTTCTAATAATGAAAATCACGATAACAATCTTAAATATCCAGCTCGTGTGTTTGCCATGATCAAATATGAAACAATATAATGCTAGTTAACGATTTTATTTTCGTGGATTGTTAAAAAATAACAGTAAAAATAGCCGGTGTGGAGGTAACATCACATTACTCTGCCTGAGACGCTCAGTAAAAAAAGGACGAAATAAAAACGAGCCCTGATTAAATTCGACGGAAATGGCGTATTTCCTTAAATAGGAAAAATTCTGTATATTACGCCCGTGTTGTTTTGACGAAACAGAGTTGAAACAATTAGTAGTTATCGCGTAAAAATTCACGAATGTCTAGCGGACAAACACGGTTAAGCGACAATGGTAGAAGACTCACCGTTAGCTAGCCATTGCAGTGCATTGCGAAGCTGAACGCCTGTCATGTTTGGGAAGAGCGAGAGTCCTAATCCGAGCGCTAAAAAATCACAAAAACACGGGAAAAAGAAAGACCGCTTCAAAATATACAAGCATGATTATTTTCTCGCCAAAATTCGCCCGACAAGACAGTAAAAAAATTAGCTCACGATCTGCGCTTTACTGTAATGGCTGACTGTATTCGCATAGGAAACTAGGCAGCGAGGCGAATGGGAAGCCTACGGGAGAGGCGCAGTTCAGTTCAACTTTTTCTAGCTTGGTTTTCTCGAGAAACAAACTCACAACTATGGGATGTAACGACGGCAAAATAAAATTCAATCTTTCGTGGTTCGATAGGGACCGAAACGGGATTTTTCCGACGCTTTTAAGGGGTTTAAATCGGGGTTTGAATTGGAGTAGTCGCCGCGGTCGCTCTGCCCTCTATTGCATGCAGAGCGCTGACACAAAGAGAAGGAGCCATATTCTCCATGTTAGTGGATGAAGACGAGCGGCCATTAGGAGCTCATAGAAACCAAGTCAGTAGCACAGCCCGCTCATAGACACAGTACAGACCCAATGCATTACTATACAAGGCGGCCAGTGCAATAGGAATCAATCGGGCAAATATTTTGTCAAGATCGCCGCCTTTCTGGACATGTTTGTCGCGTCGCTAAGCTAACTGGGAGGCGGGAGGAGACATTTGAGGGGGACTTTCTTTCATGAAGAAGGCATTCTCACAAAATGGAAGAAGAAATATTGCCGTCGTTGTTGACCTCCTTTTCCTCAACGAGAAGGCTATGCGCCATTACTACTCCGCTCGACGCAGCTATACTTGGGAGTTAGATAGCGTTTAATGGGGCGAATATGAAGAAAATTTTTAATTTTTTACAACATTTGTAAGAATTTTTACAGCAAGAAGACAAAGAGACACAAGAGGGAGTAGTTTATTCACGTTACGTTGCAGTTTTAAGCGCAATTTTTCAAGAAATGCGCTTTTTAAAAATAAATTCTTTTTTTTGTCAAAGTTTCTTTTTTCAACAAAAACACACACGATATTTGATTTCGCAACAAATTATCAAAACATACTTTTTATTAATTTATTTTAACATTTACACACAAAAACAATGTTTAAAGTGAAGTGATATTATGTCAGGTTGGTCACATTTAAGGGAACTTTGTGTGGGGAAACTTTTCACACAGACTGGAAAGTCTGCAATAAAAATGTAATTTCAAGGGTTTTGTGTTTGATTTGATGGGGTTAGGCAGTTTTAAGCCACCATAATGAGAGCAGCATGTGGACCATTGAGTTTTATGTAAAGGCCACAGCACATATTGCATCAATAAATAAAAGTCATTTTCATGGTGTCAGCTCCTGTCTTTGTTTGAAGGTTGTTGTTGTTTTTTTTTTAACTTCAGTGGGCTGCCTTTTACTTGGTTTGACAGCAGAGGAGGGCGTGTGACTACAATAGTGCCACTATTAGTAGGAGTTCATGGAAGGAAGTGACATAAGAAGCTGTTGACAACAGTAAATAGTGGCACACTATTTCTAATTATGACAAAAAAGAGTGGACTCGAGCTATTAATAGTGAACACGCTCACTTTATTAGGTTTAATTCAAACTTTTCTAAACATTTTTAACAGATATTGACGCCAAGATGGGGAAGGACCCGACAAAGCCAAGGGGGAAAATGTCCTCCTATGCGTATTTTGTCCAGACCTGCCGGGAGGAGCACAAGAAGAAACACCCTGATGCTTCTGTGAACTTTGCTGAGTTCTCCAAGAAGTGCTCTGAGCGATGGAAGGTAGTGAATGATGCTTGGGTACAAAGAAGTTTGATGGTTTATCATCTAGTTAACCCCTGTCCCTTCCTTTTTTTAAGACGATGTCCGCCAAGGAAAAGGGCAAGTTTGAGGATCTGGCTAGGCAGGACAAGGCGCGTTACGAGAGGGAGATGATGAGCTACGTTCCAGCACGGGGAGGCAAGAAGAAAAAGTTCAAGGACCCCAATGCCCCCAAGAGACCCCCGTGAGTACCCCGACTGAAGTTCATAATCTTTGTTCAGATAAGTTAGAGTTAAAACACTTTCTTTTTCTTCTTCCAGATCCGCTTTCTTCATCTTCTGCTCAGAGTTCCGCCCCAAGGTGAAAGGCGAGAGCCCTGGTCTGTCCATCGGAGACGTTGCCAAGAAGCTGGGCGAGATGTGGAACAGCACCGCCGCGCCCGACAAGCTGCCCTACGAGAAGAAGGCGTCTATACTCAAGGAGAAGTATGAGAAGGTAAAGAAACTTACTGTCTCGATACTTTTTTTTAATGAAAAGAAGCGCCTGAGCGAGAGTTCCAACATCTCGCCGTCTCTCCATCCCGCAGGCCGTCGCAGCTTACCGCAATAAGGGCAAACCCGGTGCCGGCGCGCCGGCGAAGGCCCCCGCCCCTGAGAAAAAGGATGATGACGACGACGATGACGAAGAAGATGAAGAAGAAGAGGAAGACGATGAAGATGATGATGAGTAGTTGGCGAGTGATGTAGTGGTTATTTTTCTTGTTTATAAAGCATTTAACCCCCTTGTACACACTTCACTTACTGAAAGAAAATACGTTAGTATCCAAGGGGTAAAAAAAACAAAACAAACACAAAAAACAAAAAAAAAAACGCCAACATAAAGGCTGTGTATATCGGTTGTTTTTATGCTGTACAGTTTCTTTTTTTTTTGTTTCTTTTCCCTTTTTTGTATAGTTAACACTACACAAGTATTGTGTCTGTATCTTTCTGCCAGTCTTATTTTTCTCCCCCGGTGGTAGTTTTAGACCACTGTCCAGCCTGGTACAGTGTAAAGGGGTGGGCTTACAGTAATTCCCTTAGCTAGCAGTGCGCGGCACATAAAAAAAAGTCATGAATTAGACCAGAGTGTATCTTTTTTTCTTTGCCTGTGTGTTTTTTTTTTCCAATGACCTGTAATCAGAATTGACGTATCACAGTTTTACTGATCTTGATGTACCACTGTAATCGCTAAAGAAAAGTGAAAAAAACACGTCTTGATTATTGTTGGAATTTAAATAGCTTCTGACGTCAATAAACATTTTTTTTAAATAAAATGAGCTTTGTGTTGTTGGGAAAACCCTGTGTTGCCTTTTTTCTTTCATGTTTTAAAGCTTAAAGCGGGATTAAGAGGTGGTTGTGAGGCTGCAAATGCTCAATCATAATGGACATAAACACCCAGAACAAATTAATTTCTATCCTTTTAGGAGATGTATTGACTTTACTGATCAGTGAAATTACACTGAGTTGACATGAAGCCTGGAGATAATTTAAAGAGCATCCATCTCAGCCGTTCCTGTGACGCGTGACTCATCACAACTGTCTGCAGTCGGGTGTATGTCCCCCCTTTGTTGTAGCATGCCAACATGCATCGCTGACGTCCTGTTTTATTTAGATGCAGCTGCTTTTGCACTCTAGGTCCCATCCAGGGTAAAAAAAAAAGCCATTTATATAAGGAGGATTATGTGCTTTGAAATCCCAGTGACATAAGAATATGACAGACCCAAGCACGTAGAGTCACTACTCAATCCATAATCAGAGAGAGGAGGTTTCCAACTTTCATACTGACAAATGGTGGACTGTAAATGACAAATATGTGTCCCGATGCATGTCTCCAGTCTGCTCTCAGATCAGCCCACAGCCTGAGCTTTGATATCATGTAGGGTAGAGGACAGACACACAGGGGTAGCAGCTGACCTCTGAACAGATTTGATAAAGCCCTACGTGACCCTGAAGGTGGCACAATCTCACACTTTTAGCACAAATGAGCCCAGTCAAGGATAAAGCGGTGTCTGTTGTTCTCCTTTTTGCAGACTGTTTTGAGTGGCAGGCTGAGCTGAAACAGTTGCAGAACCTGCTGGCTGCTTTCAGCTGCAGATCAGCTGCTGTGCGGTCCTTTTTCAGGTCACAAGTGCACACACACACCGAGGGAAAGGCGTAGCTGCACAGCGCCACTGTTGGGCCTTTTTAATGCTATGTTAACTGTGCACGCCGAGTGCGATTAGTGGTCTTATTGCGACATCTAGTGGTCAATTGCTGCATCTGCAAGATGATATATTTACCTGACAGCAAATAAGAGTCAGACTATTTCTAAGTGATAAAGGTGTGTATTTTTATCCTTAAATGTCTGATTATAGTTCAAGATAAAGTGTGCTTTATGTCGACTTTAGGTTTATGTGATTTTTATTCATTACACATGAGCTGTGTTTCAAAAAGCAGGAAGTTTGTTCATTTTGATTTTAAAAAGCAAGTAAGGATTTATTGTAAATGGTAAATGGCCTGTATTTGATAAAGCATCTTCTAGAGTCCTGGAACCCCCCAATGCGCTTTACAACACAATCAGTCATTCACCCATTCACACACACATTCACACGCTGGTGGTGATGAGCTACGATGTAGCCACAGCTGCCCTGGGGCGCACTGACAGAGGCGAGGCTGCCGAGCACTGGCGCCACCGGTCCCTCCGACCACCACCAGCAGGCAACGTGGGTTAAGTGTCTTGCCCAAGGACACAACGACAGCGACAGACTGAGTGGGGCTCGAACCTGCAACCTTCTTCATGCGGGGCGAGCACTTAACTCCTGTGCACTTAACTCCTGTGCCACCGTCGCCAAAAAGAAGATGTCACATGGGATTTTAATTCTGTGTTTCCTTTTTTACAGACTTTTTCTCCTTAAAACAAATATGAAAATCATTATGTATCAGAAAGGATGGACTGTGTGCACCTGTACAACATCATGGGCACAAGTTTAGGAGGGCGTTGATGCAAACAACTGCAAGAAATGTTCCAAAAGACACATGTGTGAGAGATCAATGGAACATGCACAGAAACAGATTTGAAAAGGTATATTCTCTAACTTGTGGCTGAAAATGTTACACACCACTTTATTTCACATGAACGTGAGTTTTTCTTTTCCAAGTACATATTTATCTATAAAAGTTCAGATGTGTTGATCACATTCTACTACACACAAGCTCACAACAAATCTTCAAGCCCACATAAAGTTGTACAGATGCAAATAACAGATTATCAAGTTGTTCAATTTTCAAACCTCTTGATCTTCATAATAACTCAAATGTAAAAAAAACATAAACAATTTAAACGGCACATATTATGACTTTTTCTTACGTATTAGTTCTATGGTCGATTCAAAACATGTTCTTCGCACAAAATCCTTCTCAAATAAAGCTGTTTCAGCAGTTTTAGTCTTGACAGTTTCAGTACCTTCCAGGATGAGCCATTTTAGGATATCTGTCACTTTAAGAAAACAAGCTGGAGTAAGACAACAAACTGGAGTCCCCATTTGTGATGTCACAAACGGTGACTATTATAAACTGCTTGTTTTAGGCACATAATTCCAAAACCAAACACTGCCAGAAAATGGATGGACAGATTTTATCCATATTTGGCGTGTTTATGGAGACAGTAGAGACCCACTTGGCAGCACAGAAAGGTACAAAATGTAACTTTAGCATAATATGATCCCTTTGGACTGTGACTATTCCTTTTTCCTGAATCCACTTGAAAACAAAAATGTTTAAAAAAATCAGTGCAGAGTAAATCTTTCTGAGAAACAAAGTTTATGATCGCATGGTGCCCAACAGTAAAATTAAAGTTTATGAGAAAAAAAAGGGCTTATAGATAGTTCACAAAATAAAAGAGCTTATTTATAACCTGCCTCTAATTATGAGCCTTGCTAGCTGTAGTTGTGACAGATCAATTCAGGTGAATGAACACCGGTAGAGACCAGGGGTTGTTCTAGGGGAGGTCTAGGTTGGGTCAATGCCACCTCAACCTGTGGCCCCCTTGCTGAAAGCAGGGCCTAAGCATTAATAAGTACTGATTTCTTTGTGTTAATTTAGCTTAATGCAAGCTGTGGATAACTTTATCTAATGTTGAAAGATGCTGAGACAAATACTTTCATGTTGGCACTGAGACATTAACACACACACACACACACACACACACACACACACACACACACACACACACACACACACACACACACACACACACACACACACACACACACACACACATACACATACACATACACACACACACACATATATATATATATATATATATTTGCAAAATTGTTATATATTTAAAACTACTGAAAAACTATTAAAAAAAAAACAACTTTAAAGAGCAAGTCACTCCAAATCAAGATTTTTTTGCTGATAAACTATATAAATGAGTGTCTGATTGTGCTGTAAACAAATGTGGTCAATAATTCGGCGCTTTAGTTCATCTTAGTTAAAATTTAAATATTCTGCCTAAAACTGTCAGCGATGCACCGTCGTCAGGTAATAACTCAGCACTGCATTTGAATTTAAATCTGCCATCTCTATTGGCTAAGAGGTACACTATGATGTTAGATGGTACATTATGATGTCACAATGTTTTGAGTGTGTGTATTTGTTAGCGGCTCCGCCCTCTCGGTCTGCCAGGCAACAGCATGTGTTGCATTTTTCAAACATGAAGTGGGAGTGGAGTTAGACTCTGGTAGGGGTTGCCCCAATATTACTCTGGAACTTCCACTGGTAGAGAATAAACAAGCACATATAGCCGATACAAGCGTTATGATTCGGTCACGTTATAGCAAACCATTTTCACCACCAGGTGGTGGTGTTGCATAGAGAAATCCTTAGCACATTTATCTCTGTCTTGTTTTTCCTTCATTATATCCCTCTATTCACCATCTCATTTTCTTTGTATTCACTTATCTATTTTACTTTTAACAATTCTGGTGTTTGGGTTGTGACCACGGATGTCATTTTGAGTTAATTTTTAAAGTACACAAGCAATTAGAAGTTGAGTTTTTTTTCTGGACTCAATAGTTTTCAGTGCTTTTATTTTGTGAGTGCTTGCAATGTGATTAAGCTTCATTTAGAAAATAGGCTCACAAAATGTCAGTGGCACTCTGGTCAGGAGAGAAAAGTAGGTTTCAGACCTACTGGTTGAATGTATGTGGCTGTGCATCGACCCACAAAAGGTCACATCTTTGCTTTTATCGACTAATCGAAGAAAAGAACTCCCCAAAGCAAAACAAAACAAAAAGCAGTTTTATGAGCTGATTTCTGTCCAACTTGATTGGATAAAATGACCAACTATATCCTTCCAAACAACAGCAGCCTGTGCAAACTGAAGCACCAATCTAATAATTATTGCATCAGAATAAAACAGTTGAATCATTTTTGGGTTGCAACCTCTTCTATTACACATGCATGGTAAATATCAGCTAAAATAGTTCTGTTGATGTGGTTTGCACATAAACCTAAACGCTGCAGCATGGGTATCTACTAGATTAATAATTTAAAGCTCTATCTTATGTATATTTCTACTGATAGTGTTCATACAGCAATGCTAAACCATGCATCTTATGCACTTCCATTCACAGCAGTAAATTAACCATTTCAAATTGATTTAATTATAAAAGTTTTGTCAATTTAAAATTAGGACACAGGTATTTAAAAACTGAATTTATCTTTGGGTGTTTAAAAGAGCTTCAGGAAATTAAAAAAATCAGAATGTATGGATCTAAAAATACAGAAACTTGTATTTAGTCCTTACAGCGAGGATGTG